CCGAGCTGAGCATCAGTAAATTGTTCAGGTCTGATGCTCACTGTGGCTGCCCCACCACACACAGCTGTAGGGTGCTTCACTCGCTTCCTGTTGCTAAGAAACTAAAGTCGGGGCTTGGGAAATAGCGCAGTCAGTAAAGCGCTTTTCACGTAAGCATGAAGACCAGAGTTCAGTTCCCAGAACTGGTGTACAATGTTGGAAGTAGTAGCACGTAGCTGTAAGTCTAACGCTGGGAAGGCAGAGGCGGAGAGATCCCTGTGAGTCATTGGCCAGACAATGTAGCCCAATTCTCGGCCAGTGAGAGACCTTACCTCAGAAGGTAAAGCAGGTAGTGCTTGAGGAATGGCATGGGAGGTTGTGCTCTTGCCTTAACATTCTTGCATGCATTCACACACACACACACACACAGAGAGAGAGAGAGAGACTGTATTTTTTATTTCTCTTTTATTGACACGGCCATATATGATGAGTAGATACTGAATTGGATGGAAAGCTCTAAACAGAAAAAGAAAAGAGAATTGTGTCTTGCAGGGAAAAGGGTTAGCCTCAGAACCAACTAAGTTGCATTAAGCAGCTGCTCTTACTGCAAAGTATCTGCTTTGCTGAAGGGTTGTGTCCATCCTTTCAATGTCGGGCTTTCTATGCTTAGTCTGTTGGGATTGGAGGGACCCCTGAAGACAGAGGTCTGGCTTACTTCTCCCCCGCACCCTCACAGTGCTCATGAGCACCAAGGCCAGGAGCGCTTGCCCAAGGTCAGGTAGAGGGGAGCAGGGTCCTAGAGCTGCTTTCCCCAGCCGTGCCAGTAAAGGCTGGGAAGCCTCAACCATGGCTGGTGATGGGGTGGTGGGATGTGAGGAGCTGATGCTGCAGAGGACCACGCAGGGGTCCCGATGCTGTGCTTAGGTGTGGGTGAGTCCGTGGTGAGGATTCCAGCCATTGTACATGTTCCACAGCACCCAGGCATGGCTTCTGCAGGAGGCTCCAGCGGGAATTTCCCAGATCAAAGGAGGTTCCTCTGGGGGAGGGAGCAAAGATGACAGATGACTATCTGAGCTCCTGCAAGGCGCCCCGGACTTGTGTTTATAATCCAAACCGTGGCTTGAGGGAAAACATAAGGGGAAAGGCATACACCCAGTTTTTCTGGTCCCTCCTCCCTCCCAAGCAAAGAACAAGGTGGTTTGTGTCTCGTCACTTGGATCCAAACATTCTCCATTAGATACTGGGTCAGGCTTTCCTTTATCTGATTCTGCTCAACACAAGTCACCTCCTGCTACTAGTGGGTCTCAGTTTGTCCTCCTGTAGAACGGGGGAGAATGTGATTAAGCTAGATCCTTGCTACTCAGAACACAGCCCACTGCCCAGCCATGTTAGCCTCACTTGGAAGCTTATTATCAAGGCTCAGTCAGAACCAGATATAGGCACATGTGTGCCATCCCAGCACGTGGAAGGACACATCGTGACTTTGAGACTGGCTTGAGCTATATAGACCCTGTCCCCCCCCCCCAAAAAAAATAAATGCTGAGTGATAGTACACATTTGTTCTAGCATTTGGGAGGTAGAGGCAAATAGACATTATGGTCAAGGTCATCCTCTGATATACAGTGAATTTGAGGCCAGCCTGCTATACACTAGACCCTATTTTAAAAAGGAAGGAAGGAAGGAAAGGAAGAAAGAAAGAGAAAGAAAGAAAGAAAGAGAAAGAAAGAAAAGAAATGCAAAACCAACCTCCTTAGATCTGCCAGGTGAGCATCTGCTCATGGAGGAGTTGCCCTGGTAACAGGTACGCAGAGGGAAGTGCAGGTGGGAGAGGTGTCCCAGTCCCTTAGTCTTCTGTGGACCGGAGATGAAGGCACAGTGTTTCATTTTAGGAAGCCGGTTTCAGGGAGCGGGGGGGGGGGGGGGGGAGGACTTGGCTTGGTAGAGCCACAGGGGCTCGGGTCTTTGTGACAAGGAGGCAGCTCTCAGAAGGAACATGCCCAAGGGGCCAACTTCATGGAGCACCCTGAGAGATGCCCAGCATCAGAGGCAAAGGGTTCCGACGGGCACCTCTCTGAGGGGCAGGCTGGACTGCTGGACTCCAGGCTCCTTTGCATTGATGTCTCCCACATTTCGTCATAGTAGATTATAGCAGTGAAGTGCTCTGAGAAGGGCAAAGGGGAGCTCCAGACTAAGGGACTTCCCAGGGTCTCAACTTCCTGTTTCCCTGCGATTCAGATCAGGACTCCATCTGTTAACTCTCCCGTCTCCTTTCTTAGGGTGCTGCTTCCAGACCAGGTGGCACCACAGGGTCTTTTTTTAAAAAAAAAAAATTATTATTTATTTATTTTTATTTCATGGATATTGGTGTTTTTGCCTGAATGTATATCTGTATGAGGGTGTTTAGATCCCTGGAACTGGAGTTTCAGACAGTGTTGATTGCCATGTCGGTGCTAGGAATTGAATCTGGGTCGACTGGAAGAGCAGCCTGTGCTCTTAGCTGCTAAGTCATCTTCCCAATCCAGTCCTGGATATTCAACACGCTGCTTTCTCTACAGATGACAACCTGGGACTCCAGGACAGCCATGGAAGCATGCGCAAAGCCCCTGTACCTGGGAGTCACGGACACTCTTGCTCCTCTGTTGATCTCTGAATCTCCAGGGCTGGTATGGCATCTGGACTTGGGAACACCACACATCTGGAACTTGGCCTGTTACTGTGAAGACGTATAATGCCCTGGGGTGCAGGTCTCCTGGGGAAGGACGTGATTCTTCTTACACGTCGATGGGGTTCCCACACTCTTGAGAGAACAAGCCAGCTGAGCCCATCATGACCAACGTCCCAGCAACCCTTTAGCTTGACCAGTGCACCGTCGACTGGCCTGCAGCTTCTGGCTGTTCCCAGAAGTCCCAAGCATCGTTCCAAGCATCGTTCCCTGTGAGCCGTTCTAATGCCTTCCACAGCCGAAACCTGCTTCAAGCCTGTCTCATCAACCAAGAAGCTGCATTCCCACCCTGCTGCCAGGAGTTTCAGATGAACACACTGTCCTTCTAGGTGAACGGTTCCCAAGAACGACTTAGGTGTCTGTAGAATCTACTGCAGCTGGACAGTATCCAGGTCCTGAGACCCTCCCTGTACAGAAAAGCCTGAAGGCTGTGCACTCTGCACGGGGTAGCTCTGGGCACAGTGACCTCTCTACTTCCTGTGGCTCAGACACTGGCAAGGACACATCTGAAGGTCTAATGTCAGGGCCCTGGACATCCTTCCCCTTCTGTTGGAAGTGTCCTAACATCCATCCACGAAGTGAAACAGTCTTTGCCACTTGACCTCAGAGGGGCTTGGGCTCTGTGCAGAAGTCTGAGATCCTCACAAGTTCAGCCGGGGAAGTAATCCCCCCCGCCTGGTGCCATTGCCCCAGATTCCATTACAGTGTGAGGGTACCAGTGTCCAGGATCAACATCCCTGAAGCAGGTGTCACAGTGAGCATATAAGGCTCTTAGGCAGCCGATGGCAAGCTACCTTTGACCTTTGCTTTTTTTCTAAGTTAGCTGAGACCTGAGAAGAGGGCTGTGTCTCCCCACCCCCACCCCAGCCTGAGGCCTGGGTGCACCACTTCCTGCCATCCCTCTCGTCTTCTGCAGCAGTCCTCCCTGGGAGTCATGGGAACCGTGGCCTCCCAGATACCAGAGACAGGTGCCTCTGTTGTTTTGGCAGACCCAGCCTGGGTCAGGCGGGGTGCTGGAAGGGAGACACACGGGCTTTGATTCTGAGCGGCTCCTTCCTCCCAGCCCACCTGTGCCGAAGATTCCCCCCTCCACCTGCCTCGGTTCGCTGAGCTGGCACAAAGAGCCTCCCTGGGCCTCAGGTCACGGGCATCAGATTAGCTACCGAGCAGGCCTGAGAGGCAGAGCTCTGGGAGCCCCTTTCTCGGGATAAAGTCTACTTGTTCTGGGCACAGTCACAAGCCTATTGGGAAGGACAAGGGGAGATGGTTCAGAAACTAGGGTTACCCCCTCCCAAAGCCCAGGTGTGGGAGCACAAAGACAAAAACCAATCTCTATGGTGTTGCTAAAATCCCCTTCCTGATGTTTATCCAGAGTCCTACAGTCACCTGCTGTGTAAGCAAACAGTAAAATAAAGAAATCACAGCAGATCTCTTAAAAACACAAGCTTAATAAAACAGAAATGAAATTGTCTCCTTAGCAGAAGACATAATAATAAGTCTGTTATCCAGAGTTACTTCTGGCCCCAGAGTTCTTTGTCATTTATATCACCGTTCTCAGTGCTTGGTTCCTACTATATGGGTGCCAGAGAGTTACTGGGGGTCCAGCCATCTTATCTGCATGCCAGCCAGCAGAAAGGCGGGAGGGAGGGAGGGAGGGAGGGAGGAAGGAAGGAATGAAGCCAGCAAGCCAGCCCTTTTTCCTTTCCCTTAAGGGCAATGGCTGAAAGTCTGCTTTATCGGTTGAACTTAATCCCAAGGCCTCAAGGAAACTGAAGAGCGTGCTGGCTATTCTAGGTGACCAGGCACCCAGATAAAAACCAGGGGTTCTGTTACTGCATAAAGAGAAGACAGATGGGTAGCACACACTGACAATGTCAAGTTCAAAATCAGCTTATCTACATCCCTGATGAGACAACCAGGTCCAGAGAAGGCCACACACCAGCCGAGATCACACAGCCAGCCTGTGGCATTGGATTGCCAAATTATGCTTAGTCTCTCTTATTTCTCGGCTACGTAGAAAGGCTCCATTCCAAAGGGAGGGAACTCGAGGAGAACTTAGCTCAGAGCTGCAGGACAGGGGCAGAGCGATGACCGAGTTGGCGTGTCCAGATCTGCCTGGCCCTGAGTCATGGTAGGTGAGGAACTACTCACAAGGTCTCCTCCGCTCTGGGCCCGTGGGGTGTGCCTCTCCTGATGTCCTGCCATGTGTCTGTCTCCAGCCTCTGTGTGGGTGATTCTCTATCTCTCCTGTAGGTGCTTACTGCGGGGATGCAATTCTGACCCTGTGCTTACGTTTCAGGGAGCATGCTGTCAGACTGAAGGCTGCTGGGAGGCACCATGTCTCCCTTAAGGTCGTGCTGGCCATGAACTGGCTCCTCCTAGTCGACTTCTCAGGGGCCACGTCGGCAGGTGAGATTCCACAAAACCCAGACCTCCCTCAGTTACAGTCAGGCTGCTGGGAGAGGGAGATCACAGGGAGTCTCTGGGGTAGGGTCCTTGTCGAACACTTTGGTTGCCGGCAAGTCTCATCCTGCCCCAGGTTTTTTTAGGAAATGACAGACTGGCCTAGAATCATCCCAGGTTGCAAGCTCAGCGTCTGCCCGAGCTCCATTGCAAGTGAACCTGGTTGGGAGGGTCTCCACGGAGCTGAGACTCACCTGACGGGAGTACCTATCTCTCCAGTGCTGGGCAATTGGGAAGGGGAGACACTGTTGTAAGATATTTTGAATTTTTAAAAGAGAACAGAAATTTGGAGTTTTATAGAAAAAAAAATCTTCCTTTTCAATGTGACCTGATAACATAAAATTTAAAGACTGTCCAGGAGAGTAAGGGCAGGGGCAAGGGGGCATTCAAATGATATTCAGCTTTCTATCTCTGTCTGGGCTACTCGGCTGCAGAGCTCAGAAGCCCTGCCCACTTCTTGTCATCAGATCAGGATCTGGGCCCCATGAAGTCTTCAGTCACAATGCTCACAATGCTCTGAGAGAGGGTTAGATTGTGTTTTTGTTGTTTTGTTTTACACACACCTATGAAGACCTCACAAAATATATATACATACATACATGCACAGACACATACATACATACATACATACATACATATATTAGACCTCACAAGATAGCCCTGGCTGGCTTTAAGTTCACAGACCTGCCTGTCTCTGCCCCTGGAGCTCTGGTATCAAGGCTATGTACTACTATGCCTAGTTGTTTAGTTTTGAGACAGTTTCTCTCTCAGTATGATCCAGGATAGCTCCGAACCTGCCATCTTCCTGCCCCGACATCCCAGGTGCTAACGTTAGAGACATGTGCCCCAGTACCCTACAGAGATCTGTTTTACTACCTCAATATTGTCAACTTTGTCTTTAAATAATTTGAATTTTTTTTCTTGTGTGTGAATTTTTTTTCTTCCTTGTGGTGCCAAGCTGATCTTTACGTGATTTTAAATTAAGATATTAGAAGCACAGGACACTTCAGCCAGGCTATAGGAAACAGCCATTAAAAAACTGGCACCTTCGGCAGGACATGGGAGGCACAGACACAAATCTTAGAAACTGGATGGAGATTTAATAACACTACCATGGCCACCATGCTTATCTTAAAATGCTATGATTATTCACTGAGTCTTAAGTTTTTCCGTAATAAAGGACCTCACACTGGGCTCTATCGCTTACCAGCCCACTGGAGGAAGGAAGCGTTCTACCTCCACGGTGGATTCTTACAAAACCTTCTCAATTCTTGGCTGATGTAGCAAGTAGGTACCATAATGTCAGTGTTCAGTGCCCGAGTTCATTCACCTGCTCATTCAAATAATAAGGCCAAAGTTGCATTTCGGTTTATCTTTTGGGTGATTCGACCAGAAGAGGAATATTCAGGTACTTCCTGAGTGTCTTCTCCAACATGCCAGTTTTACAAACAAACCCTTCGGAAGGGAGATGTGCCCTCTCTGGAGCCCCGTAGTCCGTGTTCTCTGAGAGAAGTAGAAATCACCTCTGCCACTCAGGCTTCAAGTAGCTGCAGCCTGCATTCCCTTATAGCCTGCTTCAGGAGGCCTCTGCCCTAGTCGGAGAAATCAGCGCGTTGCCATGGTGATGTTTCAGGGCTGGCACAGATGATTTTCAGCTGTTCGCTGATCCATATGTCTGAATACCCAGCTTCCACAAATACCCAGGGTCCACCAAATCCAGTCCTGGAAGTACTGTATCTTAGTCACAGCCTCGGAGCTTCTGAAGAGTGGGGTTCATGCTCCCGATGAAGGGCAAGCTTGTAGGACCAGGCCCAACAGGGTCAGGGCGGGATGCAAAGTTCGCTGCAAACTCGTATTCCTGGACAGGGAAGGACTGTGGGCTTGGCTTGGAAGTGAGGCGGTGAGACCTGAGGTACTGCTTGCTCACTTAGCGGGAGCCCATCCTCCCCAGGAGGTTTTTTTTTTTTTTTTTTTTTTTTTTTATTTTCGAGACAGGGTTTCTCCGTAGCTTTTGGTTCCTGTCCTGGAACTAGCTCTTGTAGACCAGGCTAGCCTCGAACTCACAGAGATCCACCTGCCTCTGCCTCCCGAGTGCTGGCTTCCCAGGAGGTTCTTGGTCTGCACCGTGGACACTGCAGGTGGCCACATTTGTTCTCCATGCTCTGAGAACTGACTCCTTGAGACAGAGATATCTCTCTTTGCATCTTCCATTGCACAGACCTGGAACAGATCCCCAGCAAATCTTGTAAAAATCCAGAAGTCTCCCCTGTTGTACTAAACACTCCGGCTCTTGAGATCACTGCATGCACGCTGGCCACTTTTGGCTTCAGACTACCTTGGGGCATGTTGGGCAGGAAGCTCAGCCTGTCCTCAGAACAACAGCAGGTGGTTCTCTACCCAGGGGAGCCCATACAACCTGCAAAACCATCATCTTCCTCAGCTCCTGGAGTTCAGAACAGAAAGAATAAGACTGCCCTGGACAAACGTAGTAACTGCCCCGGCTTAGTGGCCTTAGGCTGTGCCAGAGCCAGTATCTCTTATAGTAATGCTGCTTCTGTCACTTGGTGACACTTGCCTACAAAGGACATGTCCAGTGGTGAGGGTTAGTGCCCTGAGAGGAGCCTACAGCAGGACATCCCCACAAGGCAGAAAAGTTCCACATCTGGCAAATGGGAAGCTAAATCAGAGAAGGAAGGGGGCTTTCCAGAGTCACACAATATAGTCGTGAAAAGAGTGGACCCAAACCCCAGGGTACCTGCCTCCCAGAGGAGAGCATCTCTCTAGTGTCTAAGGACTTGCTTCCAACCCTGGTAGAGAAGAAATGGGTGCCGTGGAGATGTGCTTGCCCGACCCACCCATTCATTATCCTTCACTTGGTGACGCCGGTGAGTTTGACTGGTGGCATGTCACTGTCTTGGGCAGGGGCAGCTGAATGTCCTGACCAGAACCCTGACCTGCAGCCTTGGAGCCCTGGCCATGACAGAGACCATCACGTATACATCGGTCAGGGCAGGAATCTACTGCTCACCTCCTCTGCTACCGTCCACTCCATCACCATCTCGCAGGGAGGTAAGCTGTCCTGTCCACCCCGCCACCCGGAGCCCCGCACATGGCTCTACCTGGCCAGGAGCTAAGACAGACAGAACAAATGTTCCACGCGTCAGGTTCAGGTCAGAGTGCCTGGAGATCTGAGAAGGCCATCGACTCGGAGCGCTGAGAAATGGCCTTATCAAAGGTCTAATCTTGGGGGGAGGGAAAGAGCGTTTAAAATGACAGCTCTCTTAGGTGCTCTGAAGGCACCTGTTATTCTCAGCCTGACGTGTCTGATAACTGAACTCAGAATGCGGAACAATGGCAATGAACCAGATGACCACTGGGTATATCTTGCAAAGCAGATGATGGAGAAAAGTAACTTCCTCAAGACAAGTGGGCATAGGCGTGCAGAGAAAATGGACCCCTTTGCCTCCCTAGAGAAATGGGGTGCAGGGAACCTTCTCTGGGTTCCGCTCTAACAGTACCCAAGGTTCTTGCCTTCTCAGACCTCCCTGTTCTCTCTCTTCAGGCAAGCTTGTCATTAAAGACCACCATGAGCACATCGAGCTGCGTGCCCGGCACATTCTGATCGAGGATGGCGGAGAGCTGCACGCTGGGAGTGCCCTCTGCCCTTTCGAGGGCAATTTCAGTATTGTGCTGTATGGAAGGTGGGATGACCTCACTCGGGGTTCAAGCGCTGCTCTTGGGGCTGATGGGAAAGGGGTTTTCCAGTGGAGAGGGAGGCGTGAGGTCTGGACTTCTCTAGAGGACAGGAACCACCCTTGTGTCCCACTGTAACCGTGAGCAAGATAGACGTGGTGAAGTGGGTGAGCATCGTGGTGTGGATGGAGCGTGGATGGAGCAGCTGCATCACAGAAGCTTCTGGCAGCAGCTTTCCGGTCATTCCATGACCCTGAAAGAGGTTGCTTAGTGCTGGAAAGAACAGGGTGCAATGCTTCTCAGGGAGGTGTGAGCAAATACCCTTCACCAAGGACAGACCAGAGAAATTATTCTACCCAAGTCTAGCTTGGGAAACCTCTAGGTTTATTGGGGTTACCTATAAGAGCACAGGTGACTCTGAGTAACTGCATCTCCTAAAAGCCACAACAGCATGGGTATTGAATCATAAAAACTATAGCCATGGAGCTTCCAACCCAACAGGCAGGCAATTCCACGAGAGAGTTCCATTCACCTCAGCAACTGTTTACAGCTTGTGTCTAACCATTGAGAGATTCTGAGTCTTCTGCCTTCCCTTAGGTTTCTGGGTCTTAGGAGCACTGCTCACTCTCCAGGAGGGGATGCTTCCATTTGGAGAAAATAAGCACGGGGAAAGGAATTTTCCCCGTGGCTTTCCCTCTGACTGTGACCCTTTTTTAAGCTATTGAAAGTTCTAAGACGTGGTAGCCAAGCATGTTTGAGTGTAGGCAGGCACATGGTGAAAGTACCTGTGATTCTACAGCCGATAAGGACTGAGACAGAAACAGCATGGAAGACTGTGGTCGTGACCAGTGTCTGCTAAGCACTGCTACCCTGGGTGCTCACTGTTGCTCTGTTTTTTTTTTTGGTTTTTTTTTTTTCGAGACAGGGTTTCTCTGTGGTTTTGGAGCCTGTCCTGGAACTAGCTCTTGTAGACCAGGCTAGTCCCGAACTCACAGAGATCCGCCTGCCTCTGCCTCCCGAGTGCTGGGATTAAAGGCGTGCGCCACCACTACCCGGCTGTTGCTCTGCTTTGGGAAGGTCAGCTTGCTAATGCTTTTCTGCAGGCCTAATATCATCACCAAAAAATGCAGCTGGCTCTCTGAGGCCATAGTGGGGATCAGGGAACAGTGACAGTCCCCTCGGGGCTCAGCCTCTTGCAGAGACGTGCTGGCTAACCGCTTTTCTCTTGCAGGGCTGATGAAGGCATCGAGCCCGACCCTTACTATGGCCTGAAGTACATTGGAGTGGGCAGAGGAGGCACTCTTGAGTTGCACGGACAGAAAAAACTCTCCTGGACATTTCTCAACAAGACCCTTCGTCCTGGAGGCATGCAGGAGGGAGGATATTTTTTTGAAAGGAGCTGGGGTCACCGTGGAGTCATTGTTCATGTCATTGACCCCAAGTCAGGCACAGTTGTCCATTCTGATAGGTAAGGTTGACATCTCTCTATGCATGTACTCACTTGATCAGGATCTCTCCCAACTTGGGGGTCTTCCCTAGGGACCAGCATGGAGCAGTGAAGTGGCATTTGCACAGCAAAGCTGAATTTAACACAAATGTGTGCCAGCACACACACACACACACACACACACACACACACACCTGTAGTTAGAGATGACCAATTTTATAACATCATTCTTTTAATAAACCAACCATGTTGTTTAAATGGATGTTAAAACTCTTGTTTAAAAGGATGAGCTTCTTGATTAAAATTCTTACTATAGTAAAGCAAAATGTTTTTAAAGAGAGAATGGATGAGGAAAAGGCAGAAAGGCAGCAAGCAGTGTTCACATGGTTAAGAGTCTATCACCACTACAGTATGAATCAGAGGTGACAGTTTAATGATGCTGACATACACACGAGCTGCTCCAGGGAGGGAGACACTGCCTGAGGCAGTCACGCTATCATTCCCGAGGACTTTGGAGGAGTTGCTTTGGTCTGGATCGAAGATAGAAATCCCTGCTACTCTAAGTGTCTGGGTCTTCTCCTGGTGCTAATCCTTTCCAAGAGACATAAGCTACCACCCCCAAGAGGAAAGGGGACATTAAAAATTTGAGCCCCAAGCATGTGACTTATTCTGCACCCCAGAGCCCAAGCTCTCCAACACTGTGGTTATTTCTGAGGCATTTTACTCGGTGAATGAACACTATGGCCAAATCAGATCCCTCCTTCTTGGGTATCTGTACAGCAAGCCAAGTACCCACACTGGCTTGCTCTGTGAAGACAGCTTTTTTGTTACAGACTTGGGTCCTCAGGGTCTTTGGATGGCATCCCCGTTGCTGAAACAAACGTGTACTTAGGTCTCCGTGTCCATTAGACTGCCACCAGGACTAGCCACATCTTTACTGTCTCTCCCCTTTGCAGGTTTGACACCTACAGATCCAAGAAGGAGAGCGAACGTCTGGTCCAGTATTTGAATGCGGTGCCTGACGGCAGGATCCTTTCTGTCGCAGTGAATGATGAAGGCTCGAGGAACCTGGATGACACGGCCAGGAAGGCAATGACCAAACTGGGCAGTAAGCACTTCCTACATCTTGGATTTAGGTACGGTCCATCACTTGTGGTCTCCACTGAACTGACCAGGTGTTTGTCTCCAGCTCCACCTGACACTGAGTGCCAGCACAGAGCAGGCGGGCACACCGCTCCTCCACCCTGGGTGAAGTTCAAAGAGTTTGTGTCTAAAGGAAGCTTGGGTTTCCTTACAGGAATGTCCCCCTATTGTAATGTATGGGTTCCTATATGGACTGACGTCTGTCATTCACTAACAAGCACTCAGTGACCTAAGTGAGAAACGGGCAGTAAGAGCCCTGATGGGCAGTTAAGGGCTGCTTACCCTTTCAGGGTTCGTTCCTCTGGCAGACCATGGTTTAGGGATTATGAAAAGTATCTCCACCCTGCTAAATACCCGAGGGAAGGGAGCCTTTCTGACAAGCTCCGGTGTGTGTCCTACTTGCTTTGGATTGTAAGATCACACCTAATATTGGCATGAGCACACATGGACAACTGCAAGGAGCCACTTGGCACACAAAGACCACGTCTTCTGATCCTGTAAGCTGGTTCTAAGTTGAGATGCTCTGCCTCAAAGCTGTTAGAGAGTGTGACTCCCAATCTCCAGATACGGACAAGCTCAGAGATGATGAGAGCCTTCTCTAGCCTGCAAAGAAATATAACTGGCTGGACAGAGATCTCCTGGGCTGGAAGGGACACCCCAGGTCCTAGGCTGTGTTCTCTGGATGCAGCTTCTGGAAGGGGAACTGGGGCAGGAAACACAAGCAGACAAATACGACAGTGATATCTTGGGATGGCAGGGCTCCTTTGTCAGCCAACGCCAAACATGCTTTCATTTCACCACACCATAAACCCAAAAGTCAAGTTATTCATTTACGCCGAGAGAGAGGGTACTTTGAAAGGAGTGGCTACTGAAGGGCCTCATCAGAAGAAGGTTGTGGTGGCTCCTGATGACTGGCTTTGAGTCTGTCCTGCCTTGCCACTGAGGTGTGACCACAGGCAAGTGACTCATCCTCTTAGCTTAATTCCTGCATCTGTAGAATAGGGTATCTCCGGATCTATCTTCAAAGGACGCTGGGAGAGGTTTCATGGGATAATATGAATAATATAGTTGTCACCCTGCCTGGCACAGTTCGTGATTGTTCTGTCCTTACAAACGAAAGTCGCTGGAACAGCGGGAACCTTCACGTTTCCTCCCGGCCACAGCAAGCAGGAATTACATAGACCCCCCCCCCCTTCCTTTGTAGGTTTGAGTGATAAGAGCTGAGCATCTAAAAGTTGACAAATGTGCTGGGAATGGTCCCCTTCATTTGTTTGTTCGGGAAATAGTGAGGAGATATCGGTGGGACTCACTTGGCTGGGTCTGCTGAGCTTGCATGAGCAGATGGAGATGAATGGTACCCATGACAGAGAACAAGAAAGCAGGCAGGGGGAGCTGAGCGCAGGATCACAGCTGGGAGGAGGCCAAGACGATGCTACAAAACCAGTGGCTCTAGCGAGTGAGCGTGTGGCTCTCATGAGCGAGGAAAGACGGAGCAGGGATAGGCATGCAAGGGGGGCAGGAGAGACAAGGCTTCAGGGTTGGCATTGGGGGTGGTCAATGGCTCTGTGCTGATGCCAGGGGCAATGGGGAGCCAGTTAAAGACTTCAGTAAGGGCGAGACATGGCTGAATCCTCAACCTGAGCATGGGTCAGGAATGACTCCCCGAGACAGGAGGTCCAAGCAAAATCAGAAGCTTCTCACACCAAGATCTTCTTTTGCTTTGTCCTGCAAAGGTAGCTGCTGCCTTCTCAGGGGATGGGTCTTCAGCAAGGGCCTGTTTCTCGGAAGAAAGGCAGACTGATTTCACTGTGTTAAGTTTGACATGCCGCAGGGTCTCCCTTGGGAAATGGAAGCCGTAAGAATCCAAATAGTTCAAACTGAGTTATTTTATGCTAAGTTTCATGAAGTGGAGAGAATAAATGAGAAAATCTGATGAGCCTTTCTCAGATAAGCTAACTGGAGTGAACCGAGTTGGAATTCTTCCCAGAATAACTCTTCATTCAGCTCTAGAGAGAGGGCACCTCTCTCGTGGGGGGTAAAGGCTTCGGATCCGCTTCAGGGAGAAAACTTAGAGGGTCATTTTACCATTTCTTAATTCCCTACAGTATAGACGTTCAACATGCTAGGGTGATGTGTTTAAGGTGGAGCCCTCACCCCTGCCACTGCGTGTGGCATGCTGGAAAGGCAAAGACCACTAAAGAACGTGCCTGTGGACAGTTCACACTCCCAAAGAGAAGGGGCCACGTGATCATCTCCCAAATCATAAACCTTTTTCTCCTTCCCTTCCCAGCACTGAGCCAACGTATTTCATTCCTTTCTAAAGTCTAAGGCAGGTGGCGAAGTGGCCGGTCACAGTATCCGGTGCCATTTTTCTAGAGCTCAACTCTTGGAGGCAGTGGGCACACGTGGACTTGCCTCTGTCAGAACACGGCTTCTATATTTGCTGCAAGATCTAATTGGGCTTGGCGGGTGGCACCGCTGGGTTGTTGGCGTGTTTGTGTGATTATGATTCATACCCATTCATGCCAGCACTGAGTCAAAGCTGTCTCCAGGGTGCAGAGGCCCAGGCGAGCTGGCTGGTGAGGAAGCAGGCACCCTTGTGTTCGCAAAAAATGGGTTCTTGTTCTATGGGGAAAGGAAGCCCATGAGTGGATGGTAAATTCCTCTAGCAGCTAGGGAGACTCAACTATGGAACCCTGTCTTCACTCTGCCCGCCCAAGTGCAGGCTCCAGTGTGTGAAAAACCTGACTTTCTGGTTTTTTTTTTTTCTTTTCAGACACCCTTGGAGCTTCATCACTGTGAAGGGCAAGCCCTCCTCTTCAGTTGAAGACCACATCGAATACCAAGGTAATGAATGGATGGTGGGAGGTCCGGGCCCCTCCGCTGTCTCCCTGACCAGGGGCTGTGTGGGTTATGAGTGACCACTCTTAGAACACAGCTGCCCATCTGCCAGGGCCCAGTCGAGACTCTGGGCACTTGAGTTACTACATTCTGAGGCAGGGACAAAGGTCCATGCTGGAGGAAAATAGATTTCTCCCTAGAATTTGAACATCTCCAAAGAATTGTTAATAACTTCTCAAAAAATTATTCCCTGACAAAGAAAAGCTAAGCGCTGGGAGGAGGCCTCCAGAGGAACAGTAAGGACTAGAAGCCATAGAAAGGTTTTGTTGTTTGTTTGTTTAAGACAGGGTCTCATGTGGCCTAAGATGGTCTCAATTTCTTTTTTTCCCTTTTTTTAATTAAAACAATCTTTTTTATTTTACATACCTATTCTAGTTCCCAATCACTCTCCTCCTCCCACTTCTCCCACCTCCTCCCACTCCACTCCCCATCCATTCCTCAGAGAGGGTGAGGTCTCCCGTGGGGAGTCCACAAAGTCTGTCTCATCCCGTGAGGCAGGACCAAGGCCCTCTTCCCTGGTAGCAGAGGATGACCTTGAACTTCTGGTCCTCCTGCCTCCACCTCCTGAGTATTGAGATTACAGGTCTACATCCCCATCACTAGCTTATGTGGCTCTGGGCATAAATACAGGGCATATGCATGCTAGGCAAGCTCTCTATCACCTAAGCTACATCCGCAGCCCTGTAGAGGGTCTTCATCGTACAGCATAGCCTCTGCCACATGCAGATGGGGTGAGAGCTGCCGGTTCTAATCCCAAGGCAGAACTCAGATCATGAGAAAGAACAGGTTCTCTCAACTCTCTATTTGACAGAAAGTTGCAACTGAGCTTTCAAAACTGACCCGCAGAAGAAAAAAAAATGAATGTAACCACTTTCCAAATGACAAAAATAATCAGGTTAGGGGGCTAAAATTCCTTAAGGAAATGGTTCAAGAGAACCATGAGTAAAATACAAAAATCCACTGTGAGCTGGACTTGGTGGTGCACACTGGGCAAAATCCCGACAACTGGGAGGTGGAGGCAAGAAGAGAAACTCAAGTTATCCTTGACTATGTAATTCAAGGCTAGCCTGGGCTACCTGAGATCCAGTCTCAAAACAGAACAAAACAAACATTAAAGCCAATCCAAATTAAATCAAAGATCTACAGATGTGAGGGCTTCCTCACGGAGTTTCTGCTTCCTCAAGTGTCTGGTGTCTCTGACAGGTCACAAAGGCTCAGCTGCTGCCCGGGTTTTCAAACTCTTCCAGACAGAGCACGGCGAACATTTCAATGTTTCTTCAACCAGCGAATGGGTTCAAGGTGAGGGGTTTGTTAGAGGCGGGCTGGTAAAACCGGCTAGCAGCAGCCCAGGCTGGGTATAGCAAGGATTTCTCTTACACCAGCAGGGACACATTACTAGGCATCAATGAAGAAATTGCAACGGAGTTTGTCTTTGATTAACCAAGCCACATGGGGAAACTGTCAACAAGCTTTCCCCAGTGGTTAAGATGTGTGTGGCTTCTTCACGGGGGCTTATGGCATTTAGTTTATGTGTTAGATTGTGGTATTGGTCATAGAAGCTTGCGGGAAGCAGCCATGGTAGTGATGGGCGTTGGGAGCGGGTTTTTGGGTGGGTTATTATTTCTCTACATCTTGCTCATTGATTTTGTAGTAACAGGAAACTAATGCTGCCTTTGCAAAAGAGAAGTGTCAATAGGAGCGGCTTCCCGTCTGACCTTGTCTCTGCTTTCCACCTAGACGTGGAATGGACGGAGTGGTTCAACCATGATAAGGTACCTCAGAGCAAAGGTGGGGAGAAAATTTCAGATCTCCGAGCGGCTTACCCAGGAAAAATCTGCAATCGACCCATTGACATACAGGTACCGACCTCACAACAACAGCCAGGGAAATCCCAAAGACTTCTCTGCTTTGAAGAAAGCTCTGTGGGCCACAGCCTTTTCTTGTCACTTGGGTGGTATGCGTGTCTACCCCCTCCTCTGAAGGAGGTTAATTATTCTACTCCCACCACGGAGAAGCAAAGGTTCCTTAGCTGTTGGAAGCTAAGACTCCAGCACCTGCCTCTGAGTTCCTGATCCTTATTATCGGAGAGTGCCAGCTGCAGGGGCCTGTTTGGCCCACACGTCTCTCATCTGCTCTGATGCCCTTTGGGCTCTTGAGTACACAGTGGGCAGATAGGATATGAAGTTTAGCCATGCCCAGCAACCCAGAGGAAGAGCATGCCCTCTGCCCTGCTCCCTCTAAGGTGTATAGAAGTCACCATTCAGAGTCCGCCACTCAGACTCTATTCTACCTGAAGGAGGGGATGACTGTCACATTGGGCACACACACTGAAACAAAAGATTCTCACATATGCCTCTTTGCCCATCGCCTGCCACTTCCTTGGGGCTTCCACTAAGCCCTCATCATGGCTGTATCATTCCCACTGCCCGGGACTGCGTGTGACATGGGTTCTGGGCACTTGTTCCATGTGGACATAATCAGGTTCTCTGGGAACAAGGTGAGGCAGACATCTGTGGCCTCCACAGGACTGGAGAAGGCAATGGGGGAAGCGAGAGGCAGCAGCGGGATTGTCATTGTCCGCCACCCCCCCACCCCCGACCCCGCAGTAGCTGGCCTAGAGGTTGTGGCCAGGAAACTGTTTCTGGAAGCCAGAGAAGGCACCCCTCCGGACCAGTGACCGTTTGAAGTACCCGCAGTGGCATGTCTCCTCAGGGTGGCCTCTGTATTTCTACCACCCACGGAGTGAGAGTCCGTTTAAACCCCATGTCCTCATTCTGCGTTCACGGTCTGTTCACAGCCTACAGATGGCTGTAGAGGTCCATCAGATTATTTGACTTCATGGCTCAGTGCAAAATTAGGGGTCATAAACGTTCCCTCAAAACTTGGTTCCACGGGCTCACTGACTCCATACATGGGCGTCTGAATGTTCTCTACAAATTTCATTCAAAAACTTGGGGGAAGGGTTTGAGATAAGGTCTCACCAGCCTGGCTGGCCTTGAACTCGCTATGTAGACCAAGCCAGCACAGGGACCCACCTGCCGCTGTTTCCTGAGTGCAGGGATTAAAAGCAAGTGACACCCTGCCCTGTTCAAAAGTATTTTAATTTACTGCTAACCATGATAATATTATTAAGTATTTTGTTATCTGCAAGCAAGGCTAATAATAATGTTTCTTTAGAGATTCTTCCCATTTAGCAGTGATAGATCTCTTCTCCTCTCTCTCTCTCTCCTTATCCAAGACTGAGGTCATTAAAAGAGAAAGCTCTGTAATTAAGCAGTTCCTTGAAATCATTTCTGGTGTTTGTCCCATGATGAATATCCAGTCCTAATGGGTAACGAATGAGCCAGGGCCCATTACTGTTGTCAGGATGACAGGACTCCCTTGAAGATGGAGCTGGCTCTGTGGGGTTCTGAGGTCAGAGGAGCAGGGCTTCTTTAACAGTTGATGACCTTGAACTTGGTGATGAATTCTTTGGGCCTTAGTGGGTCTCCTTAGGGACAAGTTTATAACCTGGTCTCAGCTGCTGCAGAGACCATGGAAATCGTGCCCACATGACTTGGAAAGAGCTGGAATTTAATTGACTTTTAGCATGCATATCTGGGCGACCTCCTTTCAAGCCAAAGTTGTGGCTCCATTAGGTACAAATAATCTTTCCTAAAAAGTCTAGTTCTCTCTCTCTCTCTCTCTCTCTCTCTCTCATTGGTGATACTTTCCTTCCTTATCCAAGTCTGTCTCCCTGTCTCCATGGTTTCTGTGCCAAAGATGGCCACAGTGCTTTTCTAAGTTGCACATCTTTGAATGACAGTCACAGTCTGCAGACGGACACACCCTGGCTTTGGGATGAGCCCCAGTTGGCAGGAACCACCCTTCTTTGAGCCTGTTCCTAAACTGTGCCCTGCCCTTGTCGCTTCTTGCTTGGCATCCCCGCTCAACTTCAAGGATACAATGGGGGCGAACAGAGGGTGGTGGAATGAGGAACAGGATGTTTGAACAAAGGCCTTTTAGGCTGGGCACAGCTAGAATGGGAGCATCATTGAAGCTAATTTATAAACTCGAGCTTCGTTTTTGCCTCTGCCACTCACTGACTTGTGATGCTCATCTTCTTTGCGCACTGTTTTCCTTATCGCCAGAACCAACTGCCTCTTCCTAGTTTCTCTGTGAGGATGCAATGGATACCGGCGAGCATTTACCTCTTTAGCTGAGGCACTGGATCCCAAACTTTCCTACCTGTTAGCATCACCTGGGCTGCTTTTACAGTCCTGCTGCCCAGGCTGCAGCCTCAACCCACCAAACCTCAGCCTTTGAGGGGAGAACCTGGGCACAGAGCCTCAAGGCTCTGGTGGCATGTAAAAACCCTTCTGAGCACCTGTGGGTTGAACGGGGTGAGTCCTTGATAAATAATTATCCAGCTTCTTCGGTGAACTCACAGTGGTAGGGAGTTCATCAGGTAGTAGGGGCATATCAGGAGCCTAAGAGAGCCCTTGTGTGCTGGGTGCTCTTTACATGTGCACACAATGATAGCAGGAAGTCCTGTAGGACACAGGCAAGGTGTTCTTCCTTCCAGGTCCCAAACCTAGCTGATTCTCTTCCCCCAAATCAGGCCACTCCACCTCCATCCCAAGACTTAATACTGTCTTTCTTATAACAAAACTCTAGTAGACAATCGGGATAATAGTCCTGGGCTGCTGTAAATAGTTTTGCAGTGAGGACAATTTTAGCCTTGTAAATAGAAAATGTGGACATTAACCAATGCTTCCCTGCGTCATAAAAAAGTTCCCTTACTCTGTAATTTCCATTCCATCCTCAGGCCACAACAATGGACGGAGTTGCCCTCAACACTGAAGTTGTCTACAAAAATGGCCAAGATTACAGGTTTGCTTGCTACACCCGGGGCCGAGCCTGCCGCAACTACCGAGTACGATTCCTATGTGGGAAACCTGGTAAGCAGGCAGATCCTGGCTCCTTGTTGGGTTAGAAATACAACTGTGCTCTGGTCTCTGACCTGGCTGCTAGGCACTGTGAAACGGGATGGCTGGGTCAGCGTGTGGAGTATCAAAGAGTCATAATTACCCCCACTGAGTGGTCTAGGCACAAAGACAGGAGCAGCCAGACGTCCCTGGAGTTGAAAGCAGACAGCAACGCTCCGCCCTATCATACACCTTTCTAGAAGGGGTGGGCATGGTTCAAGAAGTCAGTGTGCTGGTGGACAGGGCTGACACAGACTTTCTGCCTCTTCTGTTATTTATTTCAAAGCCAGTTCCCCAGGCGGTCCTCCTTAGAAAGGACTGGAAACGGCTGGTTTGTTCTGGAATCAGCATCTCCAGAAAGCAGTCATTAGGGATGGACTGGGGGTGGGGCTTACAGCTACTGTAAATAACAGTGGAGAAGGTCTATATTTGTTTTACATCTTTGGCAAAGTGGGTGTGGTGAGGCAGAGCATTGAAAACCAGCTTAGAAGTCAGTGGAAAATTCCTCTGCCCGGAGCTAATGAATGGGTCTTTTTTTGGTTGGGTTTTTGTTGACTTCAAAAACCTGTAAGTACTGAGACTGTGATGGAGAGAGCCTGATGATTTGGGTTTTGGAAGGGCACACCTGGCATTTACCGATTTCCAGAGGGGAGGGGGAAGAGGTGGGCAGCCACATGTTTGCTGAGGGCAAAGGGCTGCCTCTCACTCCTTCCTGTTTTGGGGTTACAGTGAGGCCCAAGCTCACGGTCAGCATCGACACCAACGTAAACAGCACCATCCTGAACCTGGTGGACAATGTGCAGTCCTGGAGGCCTGGAGACACCCTGGTCGTCGCCAGCACTGACTACTCCATGTACCAGGCGGAAGAGTTCCAGGTTCTCACCTGCAAAGCCTGTACCTCTACGCAGGTCAGAGTGGCAGGTAGGCAACCCACTTCTGCCCAGGCTGCATGAATCTGGACACGGGTAGACCTCTCAAGTGAAAGGAGATGTGTATCTGTGAGCTATTCTCAGAATGCTGTGTAACAAAATGATGAGAGTCTCGCTGCAAAGCATTTGCTCCGTTCTGATGCATCTATACATTGTCCAGGCAGGCAGCCTAAACTGATATCTGAAATAAATTTACTTGAGAAGAAATGGTTATTTTGGCTCATGGTTTTGGAGGCTTCAGTTCATGGTTTGTTGGCCCTGCTGGTCAGGACAAGAACTAGGAGTGAAAGGAGTTACTTGTTTCATGGCATCCAGGAAACAAAGAAAGAGGAAGATGATCTAACTTCTTCCCACAAAGCTAGCCCTAATAGCATCATGGCAAAGCTTGATTTAACTCATGGACCTTTGGGGGACACTATCATAGCACTGGCCTTAAGCTGTTCTACGCTGAGCCTTGCTCCAGCATGGAAACTGGGATCAGATCGGTTCCCCACTATTCTTAGTCTTCCCCAGACATATTCTTCTTATGACAGAGGTTGAATGTTCCTATAGAAATGAGAGGAAAATGGAGAAATTCGAAAGTCTGGGTTTAGAACTGGCTCACACTGGGCATACCAGCTTGTATCTAGAATTCTAGAACTTGGGAGGCCAGGTATGGAGAATTGCATGGTGAATTTGAGGCCAGCCTGGGATGTATAGTGAATTCCAAGCAAACCTGAGCTTCAAGGTAATACCTTATTTCAAAACAAAATTTAAAAAAAAAATGAACTCAGAAAAACTAAACAAAACTGACATACTCTGATAACACGGTCTGCTGGCCAAACACAGGTCAACCCAGAGCATAGACCCTGGTCAAGTTCAGCATGAATGGCTAGAAAAGCCTGTTTTTCTCACCGAGACTGAAATGATAGAACATTTGTTTGAAAATGACTTAGTCTACCTCAACACTTTAATTCCCCTCTTTCCATAGCTTTCAAGTTTCCTTTTTTCTCCTCCTAAATAACTTTCATACCCTATATTTGATGTTTTGTGGCGTTACCAGAAACACAGATTGTTAGCAAAAGAGAGACTATCTTAGTGTTCTGTTGCTGTGAAGAGACACCATGACCACAACAACTCTTATAAAGGAATGTTATTTAATTAGGGACTTGCTTACAATTCGGAGGTTTAGTCCATTATCACCATGGTTGGAGCATGGCAACACACAGGCAGACGTGGTATGGGAAAGGCAGCTGGGAATTCTACAACCAGGTTGGCAGGCAGCAGGAAGAGAGAAAGATGCGGGGTCTAGCTCAAGCATTTGAAACATCAAAGCCCACCCCCCAGTGACCAAACATCCAAATATATATGCCTCTGGGGGCCGGAATTCCTATTACCATCACAGAAACCTTAAATATAATGTTGGTCCATTGCTCCTGGGAAATACATATGTATATCTTTGAGTTGTAAGCAACAGAATCCAACTTGACTATCTGAAACGAGAAAGGAACCGATTGACAAGCTGTTCGTGTCAGAGAAACAAATGAGACACTAAAGAATTAAGCGGCAAAGGACTCAGAGGAGGGCATCTTTGAGGGCCTGGGCAGCATTTCTAGGTGTCTCTGTCTTTAAGAATCTCTGAGTCCCATGCTGCACAGCCATGGTGCAGGGAAAGGGCATCTGACTGGACTGGCGACCTCTCTGAGAGGTCATGACCTTCACCAGCAATCCTTAGACCGCCCCAGTCAATAAAGGATTGTTTCTTAATGAAAAACCTGAGCGACCAACCAGAAGGAAGGAGAAAATATCTCAATCTTGATGAGAAAATTCAGCCCTGAGAAGACATATCCAGTATATTTCAAATGTCTAGTATTTTAGAAATAAACCTTCAAAAACTAAACTCTAAACAATCTTTTTTCTTTGGCTTGTTGGGAGGAACCTCGTTTTCATGAAGAGAGAAGCCATGATAGCGTTCTGCCTCCTGAGCTTGTTCTTGGGGAAAGGGGGGGCCCTGTTGTGTCGAGTACTCAGCTGGAATCCCAAGGCACCCATTACAGAGTCTGCAAAACATTTTTAGTGAGATGCTAATTTGGGAGTAAAAAAAGAGAAGTCAGTAGCAGGGGGCGGGTCAAGTCTAGATGAGGAGAGTTGCAGGTAAGAGATCCCCTGTTTAAATGATGAGGCTTGAACCCGCATTCTTCAGGAAAGACTTTGAGGCACCTTATAATCAAGTCTACATCAATTTGACCCCCAAAAGAAAGAAACAAAGTGAACAAAATAATCTAGGTGATAAAAGTCTAAGTATGTCCCAAGTGTTAGGATCAAAGGCCTGCGCCACCACACCTAACTTGCTACAATTGCTATTGACATCAGCTACAATAATTCTTTTTATTCTTCTCATGTGTATGTGGGTTTAGTGTGCATATGTGTATGCATGTTCAAATGTGTTTGGGCACATGTTTAGGATGTGCAGGTATATGAATGGTGGCCCAAGGTTCATCTTGGGAGTCATCCTCTATCTTTCTCCTGCGTATTTACTGAGGTGGTCTCTCAGCTGAATCTAGAGCTTGCTGACACAGTCAGTCTGCCCGGGTAGCTTGTTCCAGGAATCTCCAGTCTCCACCTTTGGAGCCCTGGAATTATAGGTGAGCTGCTACACCCAACCAGTATTTAGATAGGTGCAGGAACTGAGCTGCGTCTCCATGCTTGTGTGGCAAGTGCTTTGACTGCAGAAGGGGAGAAGGCAGGACAACTAGGGGCTTTGTTTGAATGTACAGGAACCCACTGAAGTCTGTAAGTCTGCTGGGTGTCCCCTAGCAAGGCAGAACCATGCCTGCATCTATAGGACACATAGGTGATCACCAATGGGACAGTGCGTGGTAGAAACCTCCTGGGGATGTCAGGTGCCCCTTTGGCAGGTCCTTTGAATTGATGTCACTCCTTGTGGCTTCAAGTAACATGTAGCTATCCAGAATGGAGGAAGCCCGACTGACTTCCAGTTCTTGCTGCAAGTAGGAGTAGGAGTTCTGCTAGGTCTGGGCAGACTTGACCTCATCTGAATCCCGAGATAGAGAGAACAACTTAAGGTCCATAGAGGAGGTCTCACTTTGAGCAGGAGAGCTGTGGATGGCAAGATAACCCTAAGGTTAAAGGACCCATGAGAGGCCAGGCTCACTCAGCAGAGATGTGGGGGTTCATGCTAAGGGCTACTGTTCCCAATAAGCATGCCACCAACTCAACCAGCTGGACCAGGAGTGTCAGAGGGCCAAGTCCCAAAGGATGAAAGTAGGAGTGGAGACAATGCTAGACTTGCCTCGTGATGCCCCAAGTCCCTTTATGCTTTAGCATCGAAGGATTCTTCTTCAGCCTCACACCGCCTAGTAAGAGTGGATCAGCCACTCTGCTCAGAAGCTTTGTGTCCCCATGGAAACAGCTCCTTCTGGCAAGCAGTGCCACAGAAGCCTCAGGTGGGGATGAGTATGCGTGCATAGCTGTCTGTCCATCTGTCTCTCCTGAGCAGGCACCCACTGCTCCTCTTCCCAAAGTCCGTTCTCTGCTCTCCCTTCTCCACTAACACAGAGGACTCCGCCTGCCCATCCCTTTCTGTGCCTGCCTTCTTCTCCCACCTGCTCCAGTCTATAGAATCGCCTCCTCAGTCTGGCTGCAGATAGGGACCCAATCTTCTTGGATCCTCCTTCCTTCTAATTCCAGAAAATAGCCTTCTTTGCATTTGATGAGAGACAGATGAGGTGACAAAGTGCTGGAAACACACGAGTCATCTAAAAATTAAGGTTTTTTTTTTTTCTTCCCAAAATTTGACCAACTGCAGTGTGATTCCCAGCACCTCTTGATGTGGCTGAAGTCTTCCCCTTGGCCTTTTGCCCCCCTTTTCCATCGTCACCTTCCCACTCTGCCTCATAATCTCCACACTTTTAGCCACTGCCACCACTACACTTAGAACGAGTGTCATGTCCCCCGACAGCCCCAACACTTTCCAGGGTCAACCCATTCCTTCTTTGTGAGACCCTCAGCTTCTGGAGGTTCTTGCTTTATATGTGAAGGAAAAGAGGAGACTGAGGTTGTAGAAATCAAACATCTAAGTCCACGATTTCCAATGTGGCAGCCACCAGCCCTAGGTGGCTGCTTCAATTAAGTTGAAGTCAAATTAAATTCATAGAACAGGTTTTATTTTTTTTTATTTTTTTATTTTATTTATTTTTTTTTTGGGGGGGGGGGTTTCCAGACAGGGTTTCTGTTGCTTTGGAGCCTGTCCTGGAACTAGCTCTTGTAGACCAGGCTGGTCTCGAACTCACAGAGATCCGCCTGCCTCTGCCTCCCGAGTACTGGGAACAGGTTTTAAATGTGAAGGTCACATGGGCTTAGTGGCTACCGTGTTGAACAACAAGGAATCGGTTGTCACAGGATGTCCTTGTGGGTGGTTGGGTAGTGCTACTGTAGACTAAGCAAGCCAGTATGAGAAGGACAGCCCACTTCCCCTGACTCTCTGGGTTCGATTGGGTCTAACCTACAAGTGTACCTGTGTGTCTGTCTCCCAGAGAAGGTATTGATGGTTTATTCTTCTCTTTTTGTGTTGTCTGATTCTGTACTTGTCCGGTGGAGGTTTGCAGAGTATGGTATTGGGCTGCATGTGGATAAACTCAGAAAACTACCAAGTTTAGAGTCCCTCTATATTCCAGGTCTTTCTTAAATTATTTGGGACAATGCTGACCTGGCCAGCCTGCGCATGTGCGTGCGGAGAGGAGGGGGGTGGAGAGGGGCGAGAGATCCCCTCATCAGGAAGGGATGGAAAGAGGTGGAGAGGGGTGAGAGAGCCCCTCACCAGGAAGGGACAGAAGGAATTGGGCACCCCACTCCAAGCAGTTGCTGTGGTTGGGGGTGGCCTGCAAAAGGAACAAGGAGAGAGCTAAGTGGCCTCGCTGTGCACAGCAGCAGTGTGGTAAAGGTTCTGATAAGGAGCCTTGCAGCAGGGGAGTTGACTGTGACTGTGAAATTCCCGCAGTTCTCAGCAGGGCCTGCACTTCCTTAGCCCATGGGAGTCTGATAAACACAGCCTTCTATCCACCTGAAGTCCTTCAAGCCCCCCTTACCCCCCACTGAACAAAGAAAACCCTGAAACCAGCTGTTGTTCATCAGTTCCTGTCACTGGTGGAGCTCTGGAGACAGCCCTGACAGCTGCAAGTGTCATTTCTTTTTTTTTTTAAATATTTATTTATTTATTATGTATACAATATTCTGTCTGTGTGTATGCCTGCAGGCCAGAAGAGGGCACCAGACCCCATTACAGATGGTTGTGAGCCACCATGTGGTTGCTGGGAATTGAACTCAGGACCTTTGGAAGAGCAGGCAATGCTCTTAACCTCTGAGCCATCTCTCCAGCCCCTGCAAGTGTCATTTCTGTCATTTCACTCCAACCATGTGCCCAGGGCTGTTTGAACATATTCTGTGGATTAACTAACTTAACGATCTAGCTACCTTTTGGGATGCGAGCTATTTTTTTTTTTTTATCTCTGCTTCATAGATGAAGGGCCCAAGGTTCAGGGAACTTAAACCATAGGCTCCAGGTGCCTCTGTAAACGGAGTCACACAGCCTGGCTCAGAGCCATGTGGAGAATGATGGTCTTGGATAAAGGCAACCAGGTGGGTGAAAACTCTGAGGCTCGGATGGCAAAGGGCCTCAGGAGGCAAGACCAGCCAGCATGGTGGCAACTAAAGAGGATGGGTGGGGATGAACCTACCAGGGACCAGGGTGTCTGCCCCATCTGCCTTGGACTAGTAGAAGGAGCGGGACTCATGTGACCGAGCCAATAGCTCATTGTATCTTCTGGGAAGCCAGCTCTGCTGTACCTCTCAGGACCCAGTGGAATGCCCATCACTTCCCTTGACCCTTTCATCGGTGGTGGCAGTCAGTTCTTTGACCATACCCCTCACACAACCCCAAACTGTCTTGCTTGGCTGAAAAATCCTTTGCCAGTTTCCCTGGGCATTGTCGGTAGCTTCTGTCCTTTGGGATGTCCACGAGGGAAGATTAGTTCTGGATCCGGGAGCCTGGGACTTAGAAGACCAGGAGCACAGACGCTCTTGGGGACAGATACCCAGCTTTGCAAGAGGGTCCAGTTCTCTGCATGTTGAGCAGGGGTGGCTTGGGAGAGCAAACAGAAGAGCAGAGGTTCTCCGCTGACAGAGAAAAGAGAGAAGGAAGATGTATCCAGACAGAAGCCGCCATGTAAGTGGTCCCCCGGCAAGTCAAAAAAAAAAAAAAGAGAGAGAGAGAGAGACAGCCTCCCTATTGTACCCCATGACAGCCATGTCCCCCAGGCTCTTTCCCTTTCAGCCACCAAGCCGTCTCTGTGTTTCCTCTGTCTGGCTTTCTGAAGCGAGTGTCCCTCAGAAGCCATGTCCGCCACTTTCAGAGACAGCCCTTGCCCTGTGACTAGCTCGCTTGTGAAGGCCACAGGCCCAACAGGCAGGGAGATGAACCAGGGAAAGAAGCAGAGGCTTCTACATACATGTCCGGAGGACCTTAACGCAGTAAAGACACATGACCGTGACCCAAACCAAAAGCCATAGTGGGTCCAGGGAGGAAGAAGACCAGCGGTCTGCAGTTAACTCGCTTCCGATTATTTCCTCTAGCGCTGTCAGATTCCGCATGGAGCCGTCGGAAGGTAGTAAGGTCTAATGGAAGGCTTAAGTTCATTAGGGGTATATTCTAGAAGACTTTGGGATACTGGTCTCCTCCTTTCTCTGTTTTATTACTGGCCGCAAAGTATATGGACTTCCTCTGGCATATGCAACCACCATGAGATCCTGTGCCATCACGGGCCCAAACGACATAGCCAGCAGGTCCTGACTTGAAACCTATGAAACTGTGAACTGAAATTAAACCTTTCTTCTTCTAAATTGATTCATCACAGGTATTAGTTATAGTACCAGAAAACTGACTATCACTGTGCCTGGGACTCTTAAGGACTCTGTGGAAGGCTGACTCTATGTTGATTATGTTATTCTTCGTTCCTATGAATATTGCCTCACATGGCAAAAAGAACTTAGAATTCTGACTGCAGTTCTGGAAATGGAAGGGTGTCCTGGGTTATGTGGGCGGGTCCAATATAATTACAAAGGTTATCAGATAAGAGGGATTGAGGATGATTAGGGAGGAGAATGGAGCCATGGAAGGTGGGAGACCAAGCAGACGGAGCCATGGAAGATGGGAGACCAAGCAGACGGAGCCATGGAAGATGGGAGACCAAGCAGACGGAGCCATGGAAGGTGGGAGACCAAGCAGACGGAGCCATGGAAGGTGGGAGACCGGGTCACAAACCCAGGAGTACAGGTGGCCGCTGGAATCTGAAAACGCCCAGGAACAGTTTCAAAACGGCACCTTCTCAAGCAAGCAGCCCTGCCAACACCTTGACTTGCCCCAGGAAATTAACTTCGGACATCTAACCTCCAGGACCATGAAAAATAAAGCTGTGGTAATTTGTCACAGATGCGACAGAAAACACGCGCCGTTCTCTTGCCCGGAGTTGTTTTCTCAGCTTCAGCGTGGAGCAATGTCATCTTGCTTCAAAGAAACCACTGTCTCACTGAGTCTGCAGAATTCTAAAACCATTTTGCATTGCTTCCTTAACAATTCTGCCAGCTCCCAGGATGTGTGCCAGTGAAGGGGGGAGGGCAGGGGTCAGCTCTTCCTGTGGGTGAGAAAGCAGAGGAAGGCCACTGTGGTGGGTATCACTAATTTTAACCATGGCCTTCACACGCGGGCACTCGTGGTATCTCAAGGCCATGGCAAGGGCCTCCTCAATCAAGTCAAGGTCAGAGTGAGAACTGAGTAGCATAGGTGGTGTGGTTTGGGCTGGAAGTCCACACAGGAGAGGCATGTGCTTTGTAATTGCATCCTCAAGGGAAACAGAAATAGCCACAAGTCCTGTCAGCCATCTTAGTAATGAGCCTGTCTTAAGCCGTGTTTTCTGCACAGATGGAGGAAGAGAAGATGGGAGGGGTGAGACTAAGGGAATTTGGCTGGAAAGGGGGTGAGGTAGTGGGAGGGAGAGAATAGACAGAACACGGGGTCAACGATTCAGACCACACAGGACAGGGTTCTGGAGGGAGTACGTTGGGCGGGGGGGGGGGGGGTGTTTGGTTTGTTAGATTTTTTTTCTCAAGGATAGCAGGGTCTGGGAAAGCTTGAGGGTTGAAGCATTCGCAACACAGATGAGGGATGAGGTGGCTGGCCTGGAAAGGACTGTCAGCTGGAGGCAATGCCTTCTGAATGTGCCACAGGACCGGGAGAGTGCCTCCTCTGTGGGATGAAGTCAGCACAGAGCGGGATGCAAGTTCCTCCCTACTGCTCCCTGTGGTGCCACAGGGACCTGTATACAAGCCCGTGGCTCTGGGCGCAGGAACACCAGCCTGCTCTTCCTTAAGTACCAGGCTGTGAATGTATTTTCCACAAGGCTGCTGAGAGTAGCACACGGGTTTGTTTGCCCTGCTCTGAAGTGGGGGGTCTGCAAGGGAGAGGGTTTGTTTCGTCCGAAGAATTGTAGCTGGAAGGCAGCTACAGTGGAAGCTCTGGGGAGACTAGACTCTCGCGCTCTCTCTCTCTCTCCTCTGCCATCCTGCCATCTCTAGGCCGTGGCTTTCCTCTGGTTGAGGGGTGAGGCTAGTCCACCAGGCTAGAAAGCACGAGAGGCTACTCAAGGCTATCCCTGACACTTCTACCTAGATGAAGGGAGGTGGGGGGGGGAAGCCCAGCACCCCTGGGAAGCTCTGGGTCAGATGGATCACGGGAGAGTCTAGCTCTGAAAGTCAGAAGAATAAATATTACTGGACAAACAACCAAATCTGTGATGGTCTTAAGACCTAAGCGTGGGTAGCTACGAACGACAGCTCCGCTCCTAGGCTTGTGACCATATGAACGTGAGCATTGTTCTGTGTTGTGGGAACAAGGACCATGGGGCCCAGCCTGAGTGAGGGCCTGGTGAAGAGCGAGTTACAACTGTGTGAGTACAGGATAGGAAGACAGTGGGCACGCTACACCTGCCAATCTGCTCCCTCACCCTCTTTGCCCTAGGGAAGCCACAGTACCTACACATTGGGGAGGAGATTGACGGTGTGGACATGCGGGCTGAGGTCGGGCTCCTGACTCGGAACATTGTGGTGATGGGAGAGATGGAGGACCAATGCTACCCCTACAGCAGCCACATCTGTGACTTCTTTGACTTCGATACCTTCGGGGGTCACATCAAGGTAGGAATCTGCCTGGCTGAGGCTCTGAGCCCTCCAGGAGGGATTAAAGGTGTGCGCCACCACCGCCTGGCGGGTCATTCTTTTTAATAATGTCAACAAAGAGGTTGACCAAAGGAAACTGAGAGGTCACAGAGAGAGCTCTGCTGGCCTTTGAAGTGGGGAGAGTCTTGTGGTTCAGACCTTTGTTTTTAGGGATTTTAGAGTCTCCAGTCCCTAGTCCGTGGGTACTTTCTGGCTATTGTCACCACGTACCCAAGACCACAGTGAGACCTAGCGGAGACAGTAGTTCTCCATCACACAATCTACTGCCGTGCCTCCCACTCATGAGAAGGGTCTTAAGTCCCCACGACTCTGTCGCCCATGAAGCCCAAACTCTGCTCAGACTCATTCTCAACACAGCTCTCTGGGCATTGGCTGCTGGACTAGTGTTCCAGTTGGTACCCGAATCTAGGGAAATGATCTGCATATCAAACTCCAGCTCCTCTGGTAGAAGTTGGCCGAGCCTGCTTCTGGCTCACGTCATTCCAGACCGTGCTTTCTGCGGAGCTCCTGGAAGGCACACATTGCCTGGCCAAGCAGTTTCCCTGTGCTATGACCACCCTCCACTCATAGGCCCGCCTCCAGAGCAGAGACTCAGGGTATCTCCAGAGAGTCAGCACCCCCTTCCTTCCCGGGAGAAGGCTTCATACAGTAAGCAATGGTACCCTGAAGTCTTCCAGTCCCCAGCACTCCTGTGGCAGGTTTTCTGTCACCCCCACCCCCCAAGCATTTTAGGATTATCCCTTCTTCATTGGTGGCTATGGAGATGGCAGAGGAAGATTGAAGCAAGTCTAGCTATTGTCCTGGGCGCTTCCAATCCAGAGTTCATTATTCTGCAGCATCTTGTAAAACCTTGCTGCACTTCCTTAGTGAAAGAGGGCCAGGCATCGTCATCCATGTGCACAGAGCCTCGTTGATTTGTTGAGTACCCAGGAGGTACTCCGGCACAAAGGACTGGAAAGGTGATACCTCTTTCCGATGGGGATGCAAGTATCAGATGGGTGGCAGGGATCAGGGGCGGCCTCGGGGCTCTTTTAACTTTCACTCTCCTGTTGCAGTTTGCCCTGGGGTTTAAAGCCACCCACTTGGAGGGCGTGGAGCTAAAGTACATGGGGCAGCAGCTGGTGGGCCAGTACCCAATTCACTTCCACCTGGCTGGCGACCTGGATGAGCGGGGAGGCTATGACCCACCTACGTACATCAGGGACCTCTCCATCCACCACACCTTCTCCCGCTGCGTCACTGTTCACGGCTCCAATGGCCTTTTGGTAAGTACCTGCTGGAAGGGCAGCCTATCTAGGGACTTAGGCCATACAGGGAAGGGAGATCTTGGGCTGTGCCTTCTCTCACCTGCTTCTGGTGTGAACTTGGACAGACTACGGAGTCAGCCAGGTCTCCGGTTTCCTCCTGGGAGCCCTGCAGAACAGGGTTACCTTTCAGTTTGCTTGGGTAGAGGATGAGTGTGAAACATTCCTGGCTGTGTTATCCTAGCAACCCATCTGCAGAGCAGGGAGTCCAGGTATTGCCAAAGAACAGGCTGGCTTTGGGGAACTGAGCAGGCATGAGGGACACTAGCCAGGACAGCATGGGGAGCCAGCCCCTCTGTGAGTTACAGGCGTCGAGAGCTGGCAGGGGGCCATCCCCAAGAGTCTGTGTTAATTTAGGTGGGGAAATCAAGAGACTTATGGTAGGAAAAGGAAGACAGTGAGTTGGGGCACCCCCAATTCCCCAGATCTAGCCTGGGACAATGAGTCAATGGTACCCACAGTAGAGTCAGAGCCGCAGAGCAGAGCCCTGGACAGCTTTGCCCAACCAGCAGATCCATGCAACACTGTAAGCTAAGACTTCCTCCTGCCCAGTTCCCAGGAATGTCAGCTGCCAAATTAGAAAGGAGCATCTCTTGGCTGCCTTGTTATCCAGCTACCACATGGCTAGGGTGCCAGCTACAAATATCTAGTTGACCATTCAGGGATCTCCCACCACGCAGTTCCGAGCTGAGCTGTGCTTGCCAGATCTGGAGGCACAGACTCACTGCAGCCTTTCCAAGGCGGAACCAAATTGCACTGTTTGCCATCTAGACAGCGTCCAGGTCTCTGGTTCTCTGAGCCAAGCAGACAGCAGCAGGGCCTTATCCCAGGCAGACCTGAAGTTTTGCAGATTGGCTTTGCATGCTCTTGGAATGTGCATTTGTACGCCGTCCTGAATGCAGCTGCTCTGGGAGCTGGCCTTTCACGCTGGCGTGTGTTTCTTGGCTGACTGGGTTGCAGGGTTTACCAGGGGGTGACTACGTTTCAGGGTGAGGGTTCAGTTGACAAAGCCAGAAGAGGCCATATAGAGACAAAGATGCTGTTGTGGTTTAGACTGCAGGGGCCCCAGGCTGGGGGGCAGAGGATGGTTTCTCTAGCAACATCCCTGCAGATGTGGGTGGATCCCAGCTGTGTGGAGCACCCCAAGCTGTGTGGAGCTGAGCTGTATGGAGCCAAGAGGTGTCTCGGCAACTTACCCCACTCCAGCAGGTCCTGCAGTGTCCCAGGAGGCCAGCTAGCTCATAGTTCTTCCCCATTCTCTGTCTGTGTACCCCCATCCTTGGGGCCAGCTTCCTTCATCCTCAGCCTGCTTCAGGCAGCCCCCCTTCCTTTCATTTATTCTTTTATCTTTTTTTATAAAAAGAAAAGATTGCTTTATTTTATGTGTATCAATCTTTATATGAAATGAAGGCATATGTATGTATGTATATATGTATGTATACCATGTGCTTGCCTGGTACCCACAAACGTCTGATGAAGGCATTGAGATCCCTGGAACCTGGTACTAGCAAATGAACCCGAGTCCTCTGCAAGACCAACAAGTGCTCTTAACCACTGAGCCACCTCTTCCAGCCCCTTCCAGTTCAACATCTAAACCAGTTCCCTCTTCTGACACAAGCCCTTCGGCTTCTGCTTTCCTGCGTTTTGGAGACAGCTTTTAGCAGTGTGGCTCTAAAATGTTCTTCTCTCATCCTGTGCATCTCTTCGCTCTGATCAAAACTCACAAACGTAGAGTCGCAGGAAGCGATGGAAACTCCCTGGGCCTCAGTTTCCTCCAGTGCATAGTGAAAATGCTGATAGAGTCAGCTTCAAAGGGCTGTTGTGAGGACGGAACCAGATAAAACAAGTGACGTACTTCGAGGGGGACACGAAATGGTGGTAGCACCATGTGCCTCCGCATTTCTATGTGCTCTGTGAAAACATCCCTGCTTCCGGGAGATAGCAGCCAGCATATGCCTGCACCAAAAAGTAGGGCCTGTGTAGTTAGATGCTCTTGGCAAAAACTGCATGAATGTGCTCCCTCTCTGCCACTTTGAAAAATCCCAGTGCATGTTCACATACGAAGGGTCTCCAGGAAAAACTCACCAAACTGATTGCTCTCTTAGGTTGAGGGCGTCCTTCTGGCAATGTAGTGTAGCCCACCACGGTGCTGGTGGGTGCAGGGAAGAAGCCTGCCTTCAGAGGGAGGCTCCACACACGCTGTCCCCAGGATGTTAACAGGTGTAGGGTGGAAGGAAGAATTTTCCCACTGAGAGGCTTTACATACATTCTCTGCAGGGGCCACAGGGAAATGGGCTCAGTTTATTTCCGTGTGAGCTTCATGTATATGTGAAGCTCTAAGGCAGGACCTTGAACATTGCCTTCCTGTTACTGGAAGGCAATCAGTATATTCCTGGCCTGTAGCAGAAGTACCAGACTCCAGTGTGAGATCTATTCTCTTCTACTTCCTTCCTTTAAGAGCAGAAGGAAGCACACCCTTCTCTACCTGGGCACTGGCTCACAGTTTATCTTTACTATAAGTGACAGGGGGATGAAACCAACAGCAGGTTGCCACTGCCTCCATGCAGGCTGGGCCACGCACGGCTCTGTGGGCTAACAGGTCCAGGCAGACCCTACGCTCTCCATCTTTGGGGCCACACCCTTCTCTTGGCATTCTACTAAAGATATCTGGGGCCCAGGATGGGAAACCCAGCATCTTCTCTGCCAGCTGCACAGCCCTGGGAATTATGGGAGAGGCTTCCATTTTCCCTGACTCACCCCTTTTCTGATGTCTTTGAATGTGTCACCCCTTCCTTTTTCTTTCTTTCTTTTCCTTTTTCTTCTTCTTTTTTTTTGTTGTTGTTGTGGTGTTGTTGTTTCGAGGTTTCAAGACAGAGTTTCTCTGTAGCTTTGGAGCCTGTCCTGAACTCGCTCTGTAGACCAGGCTGACCTCGAACTCACAGAGATCCACCTGCCTCTGCCTCCCGAGTGCTGGGATTAAAGGCATGCGCCACCACCGCCTGGGTGTTGTCAGGTTGCATAGCTGCTCTCATTTTTCCTTTCCACTTGAGCCCAGATGTAGGACCCAGATTTTTATCTTTCCTTTCCCACAAAGCTACCTTGGTCCAGGACTTCACTGGGAGACTGAGGTACAGAAAAAGAGGGTAGAGAGTATTCCAGAACAGCACCCTCTGGTCACACGCTTTTCCTCAGGCAGCACCTGACCTTAGGAGGGAGCTCTGCCTCCCCTTATCCTCTCCCCTCACCCCTTCCCACCTCCCCTGCACAGTCTTGGACGCATTCCTTCCCTTTTTAGGTAGTGTTTTCTTCTGTTTCCTCTCCCAACTTCTATTTGCATATTCAAAAACTCATTAAGATCTGCAGAACAAATGACCCTTGCCTGCGCTCCAAGGCCAGCTTCTTCTCGGGAATTTTATTTTTAAATTTTTTAATAACAGCAGAAGCTTGGAAATGAAATTTCTTTTTAAAATGGCTGAATTCCATGTGAGGCTTCCCGCTGGTTTGTCTGTGTGTATATACATAAACATATATGTATCTATATATACATACAGATACATATTTATAATATCATACCCACCCTAGATTTCAGGAGTAAGTAACATCCTCTTTGGTACCAGGAGTCCCTTGAGGGAGCCAAAATCTCTCATTTCGAGTCCCAGTATCAAATGGCCTTGTATTTGCATAGAACCTGTGCACAGGCTCCTGCTTTAAGTCAGTCACCTATAGGTGGCTTATGCTGCCATGCAAAGGCCTAGTAAACAGTTGGCACCCCATATCGCTTGGGGAACTCAGCCAAGGGGAAAGAGTCAGTGCCTGTTTCTCACAGGCAATTTTTTTAACGAAATATTTCTGGTCTGAGCTTGATTGAAGCTATAGTGGAATCCTGCATATCCAGAGAGTCAACCTGATCACTGATTTCTGCTTGTGTCTGTTTAATTGAAGCATCGTTCTTTGTAGAACACACAGGTTGTTGACGGAAGCTGATTCAGACTGTGGTGACTGTGTAATATCTTGACATACACAGAACAGTCTTAGTACCTAGAGCTGTCCATTGCTGGTCTCCGCTAGTACTAGCCATGCCCCGCCCCCCCAAATGCCCTGACTCAGTGACAACTAAATCGAGGGTCACGTTAGTTGAAACAATACTTGACAGCTGTTTCTGGGTCTTTCATATGAATTTTCTCCTTTACAATCTCCTGCTCAGGCCCTACTAACCACAGTGGAAGACCTAAAACGGCTTCCAGGAATCATGAGCTGCTTTCAGCAGGCAAAAGAAGATGCTCAGAAAAATGAAGGGGAAATACAGTTTTGGTTTTCTTAAAGAGAATGGCTAGGGGGTTACACATTATTTCTGCTCAGCATATAAGGAAGGACAGCCCCAGAGAGAGAAAAAGAGAATACTTATTTAGCTGATATGTCTGTATGTATGTATCTATCATCTACCTGGCTGCCCATTTATCTCTATTTCCCCATTCATCTATTCATGCAACCATCATCTGTTTCTTATTTACCTATATATCTAGCTAGCACCTGTATCTGTTTCTCTATTATCTATCATCTCTATCATCTATCCGTCTATCATCTATCTATCATCTCGATCATCTATCCATTCGTCATCTATTTATATCTATCTATCTACCTATATATATATATATATCATCTATTCATTATCTATGTATCGATCTACCCATCTATCTATCCATCCATTTATTATAACTAGTAATCAACTTCATGAAGTGTTCTGAGGAGAAACACTCTGAGCATGTTTTTAGTATCCCTCTATCACTCAAGGGATACTGGTTACAGAACCAGTCTGTGGCTAAGAAAGGTGTGAATTACTCTTCCTCTCCTGCCCCAGACCTTCCTTCTCCTTTGTCCTCCTTTCCTCCTGGCTCTGCGAGAGTCATTGCTCCCTCAAGACAGTGGATTGGTCTCTGTTTCAAACAAGATGGAGATCAAGTCTGAGTTCGGTCCTTGCAAAGAGAGGGACTTGGGGCATCCAAGTCAAGTGACATGCATTGAGCTAAGGTTGGAACATGATAACGTGTGTAAGACTGTAAGACACTGGACATCTGACAACAGTAGCTGTTTTCGGGTGAAGCCCTTTCTGTTTGGATCGCCTCTCACAGGCCTTAGAGGCCAGCTCTTCCCTGAGTACTTGCTAGAAAAATGTTCCTGCTCGTTGACTCACTCTCAGAGACGGGCTCCTGACCATATGATTTAAAGTGCAGGGCAAATGGGTCGGGACAAGATAGAAAGATCTATGAGCAGAAGACGGGAGACTCTGAGGGTACCAAATACCTGAGATACCCACCTCCCCTCCCATGGACACAGTTGCCTCCTCTGCAAAGCCAGGCCCTGAATATGATCTTAGAGGTCTCCGCCAGCAAGAGCAGCCGAATCCCCTCCAGGCTTGTCTTGCAGGGCTATTTATAACATGCTTTCATTTCTCACTAGAAGAGAAGGACGCATCCCACTGGATGACCTTGGCATTGGCTGAAATGCCCATTGAAGGAGTGAATGGGCTTCAAGGTCACACCCTCGTCTGTTGTCAAAGATTAAAGGAAGGAGGCATGCTTAGGAGGCTGAGAGCTTGGTGTCGGCAGGCAGTGTGGTCTTCCTTGTGAACACACAGGCCTGAAAACACCCATGTCCCTGCCATGGCTTTGCCCACAGAAATTTGCTGTGTGAGACTACAGCGAGATGAAAAGGTCTAAGAGACCAGCCAGCGTTCAGCCGTGGACGGGCTTGCTGTGGGGATGATTCTAATAGCTTTGACTGCCCTGAAGTTAGGGAGCAGGCACCTGCCATGGGAGAGCCTGGAGGCACTGGGGTTGCTCACCTTGGACGAATACTTTTCCATCAGAGACAGTTTCGTCACCCCCTCCTACTCAGTGAACTACAGAATAATGAAAGTCTGGGACCAGCTTGGGGCGGATGGGGTTGGGGAATGGGGTGGAGTAGGGTTGCTTTTGGCATCTGACAGGGATAGACCAAGGTTACTGAGCGCCCTACAGTGAGAAAGACAGTCCCTTGTAGTGGCATCAGGGCCGAGGGCATGGCCTCGGTATTTCAGTCAGTGCCAAGGGCATTTGGATAGTGTGCAGATTTTCCAGCTCCTGGCACAGTGGTGGCTCCTTAAGAGGTGTGGGTTGATCCGAGGTCACAAGGAAGTGGGGGAGATCTCACTGGGTGAAATCACTGGACAGTCAGGACTGGAAGAACACAGTAAAGACGAGAATGCTCCCACCCTCACCCACTGTACCCCGTGAGCTGAGATCATCTCTGCTTGGGCGTTCGAGCCAAAGCAGGAGTCTTTGTGGGAGAGACACTGTCGTCAGAGTCTGGCATGAACAGGGAACTGGGACTCGGGATAGGGCTCTCTAAGGATTCTGAGGCCTTGGAGATGATGGAGGTCAAGTCCAGAGCTTTGTGGTTGACAAGGTAGGCAGGCTGGTGTGAGAGCCACCTGGTGTTGTTTCTGAGACCACGCTCTGCTCTCACCATGTCTCTTCAAGACGCTCTTTCTGATTTTCTGCGCACTCTGTAGTTCTGGGAAGGTGGTCCAGCAGCTGGTTCTCCCAGCCCTCTCTGGTTTTCAGCCTGGGGTGTGAAGGCATCCTGAACCAACAAACTGGCTTGGGTTCCAGGGATTATAGCAGTGTGTTAGTGCAGACATTGATGAACCACCCCTCAGACTCGCTGTGGTGCTGCCACCTGGGGGAGCTGCCCCGCTCCCCCACTCAGGCCCTGGAGACCCTCTTCAGGACGTCCTGGCAAGCTCCACAGAATCGTCTCTAGAATGAGCGTCTGGGTCTCCCCCTGGAACCACCTACACACTTCTGAGCTCTCATCCCTTTCCCTATTCCCTGGAGCCTCGTCCCCGGCACATCCCACCAGAGAGTTCCCATTCGCTTCCTTGTCCATCCTCAGGCCTTACCTGGGGGTCAAGGTTGCCTCCACCCCCCCACCCCCAGTCTACTTAGGTCTGGTGTAGTTCAGCATTGTTTCACACTCGGTGAATGAGTATTGGGCACACGCACAGGTGGGTGCTGAGTGAAACTCCTGTCTTGACCCTGCAGATCAAGGATGTGGTGGGCTATAATTCCTTGGGCCACTGCTTCTTCACTGAAGATGGGCCAGAGGAACGCAACACTTTTGACCACTGCCTCGGCCTCCTTGTTAAGTCGGGGACCCTCCTCCCATCAGATCGGGACAGCAGGATGTGCAAAGTGATCACGGAGGACTCGTACCCAGGGTACATCCCTAAGCCCAGGCAGGACTGCAAGTAAGTGTGTGCATAGTAGTGTAAGGTGTGCCCCTTACACTTGGGTCTGGGGAAGGAAGGGTGGGAGGGATGAGCATGAACGTCCATCGTCCTGCCTCAGGACCTCTAAAAGGACCTTTAAAAGCTTCCTGTTTACCTCTGCCTGTTTCTCAGAGTGAGGTCCCCATGGTAGCTTCTCCCTCTTCCCTCCTCCCTCCTTCCTCCTCCCTCGTGAGTCTCACTAGTGCTGTTTTGTCTGGAGAACTCTGGCTCACCTGTGGTTGAATGCCACATGGCATCCTGGTGGACAGGAAGTAGCTGCCACACCAGCTCCCAATACGTACCCATCAGCCTGACCACAAGAATCTCTTTCTAGCCAGAGAGAGACCCAAACAGTGTTACAGAGACACACACAGAAAAACAAAGATAGAAAAATACAGACAGAAAGTCCAAGAGACAGAAGCGGACAGACACACAGACAGAAGCAGGCAGACGGGAAAACAGACACAGAGAGATAGTAGACAGATGTAGAAGAAAAAAAACAGAGAAACAGACTGAGAGACACAGAGATGCTAAGACAGAAAGAAGCATAGGCAGACACACAGACACTGAGACAGAAAGACAAAGACACAGAGGAGAAACACAGACAGAGAGGCAGATGCAGAGAACCGCATGGCTTCCTGCACAGATGCCTTCCTTAGAAAGGCTTGCTTTCTCGGACCCACGTTCCTGCTTCTGTAGAAGCACAGACTTCATCTAGCCTTTGCAGTCCTTAACAGTGCACAGCTTAAGTGCCCGGCCTTGTGGTGAGAAAATGACGCCTCAAACAGACACATCAACGATTTCCCAAATCTCCGAAAAGAGACTCTTTTCCACTAATATTGGTGTCTCGCATGCCCCCCCCCCCCCACTATGCAACAGAAAGGGTGCTGGTAGCCCCTTATCTGACCCTGTTCAACCTCTGTCCCTTCCCTGCAGTGCTGTGTCCACCTTCTGGATGGCAAATCCCAACAACAACCTGATTAACTGTGCGGCTGCAGGGTCCGAGGTAAGCAGAAATAAGCCAGGTGGAACTGGCAGGGGCTGCCCTGCAAATGTGTGTGTTCGGAGCCCAAGATCACGCCTCCATGTGTTTGGAGAGGGGGAGTCTTGTGACTTGGTGTTAAATGACAGTCCTGCCTATCACTTCATGACCCCGGTGACCGTAGCTAATGAGTAGTTTGTTTTGGCTTGTGTCTTAAAAGACTACCCACAGTCCATAGCCGTGGGGAAGGTGTGATGGCAGGTGTTACTTGGGGCTGCCTCATTGGGAGCTCATTCACATCTGGGTGGACTGAGAAGCAGAGAGAGGGGCTGGAGAGATGGCCCTGTGGTTAAGAGTACTTATTTTTGCAGAGAATCTGGTTCGATTCTCAGCACCCATCTGGTGGCTCACAACCATCCATAACTCCACTTTCAGGGGAATCCTATGCCTTCTTCTGACATCTGTGGGCACCAGGCATACACAAACATACTTATGAACAAAACATGCATGTACATAAAGCATTAAAACTTTAAAAAAAAATTTTTAGAAAAAAAGACAAAACAGGAAGTGGAGCCAGGCTACAATCCTCAAGTCCCACTCCCAAGGACCCCACTTCCTCCAGTTCATCTCCCCCTTCTAAAGGTCACACCAAGAAAGCTAGAGTCACTCGCTGGAGACCAAGTATTCAAACACATGAGGCCCTTGGGGACACTCATATCCAAACCATGCCAGAGTGCTAAGCAACTTATGCACAGTAACTCTGAGTTATTTTTCCTTCGGATGGTACCTGATGCATCAGCATGGTAAGCTAACACCACGTGATTCTGACATCAAGGCTATGCCCTGGCCTAGGGAGGAAGCTGCAGCAGGGAAAGCTAGTGTTCCCGGAGCCCCGAAGAGCTGGATGACGGCAGCTGGGAAAGAAGCCCCGTGTTCTGCCACAGTAGCCTTGCTCTCCCCTGCTGCTGGTTTTGCTTGGGTCCTTGACCCTGATCCTGTCTGTTGCCCTTCCTGGGCCTCAACTTCCAGATCTCCAAGGAAGACTGAGAACCCTCACTTTCAGAACTCTTATCAATTGGGAGTCTAACCTCTACAGGGACCCGGTAATTCGGACAGTAGCAGATAGGGCGGGGCTGGTGTGAAGAGTGAGCGCTGTCAAGTAGTCAAATCACAAATTCGAGTAACCTTGAGTTTCTCCTTTGGTCCAGTAAAGCACTGGACCACATGGCTGTGTTTGGTGGTGTGTGGTGTCCAGGCAAGCTGTGGACCACATGGCTGTGTTTGGTGGTGTGTGGTGTCCAGGCAAGCACTGGACCACATGGGTGTGTTTGGTGGTGTGTGGTGTCCAGGCAAGCACTGGACCACATGGGTGTGTTTGGTGGTGTGTGGTGTCCAGGCAAGCACTGGACCACACAGGTGTGTTTGGTGGTGTCTAATGATGGCTTTTTCTGCTGACAGTACTGCATCCCTTCCCGGAGCCTGGGCCACTCAATCAGGAGTTCACTGACACTAATTACTGTGGCTCTCTCCTCTGCCCTGTCCCAACAGGAAACGGGATTCTGGTTCATTTTTCACCATGTGCCAACGGGCCCCTCAGTGGGAATGTACTCCCCGGGTTATTCCGAGCACATTCCACTGGGAAAATTCCACAACAACCGAGCACATTCTAACTACAGGGTGAGTCTCTCCATGCTGCATCACTATGGCCAGCCTGTTCATTCCCCTGCCCCTACCTGCCTAGAACAGCTACATTCTTACCATGAGTCCAGAGCAGCCTTCCAAGGCCTGCAGGTTACTGACCAAGCACCAGAAGTCTCCTTTGGGGGCCTGCCTTTGCCAATCACAGCATCTGCCCAACCAAAGGAGCAAGGTGTGCCTTCACTCCAGGCTCCCCTCTGGGAGGATGCTGGGTTGCACATCGGGTTTGATTCTGTGATGCATTTGTGGGTATGAGTGATGTTGACTATAAAATTAGGTCTGGCCATGAACTGAGGGAACTTTGGACATGGTTCTGAGGTAGCATTGGTATCCTAGACTTTCTTCCTTCTTTTTGGGAAGTGGGTGACCCCATCTGTGTGGGGCTATCTCAGAAGGTTGAAACTTCTTGACCACCTTCATTGATTGTCCCCCTTTTCTGAGTACCAGTTTGTACCCGGCTCCAAGCTAGGTGCTAGAGTAAAAGGAGGAAGGATTGGGATGCCTGGGACTTCAGTATGTCAAGAACTTTCCCATAAGGACAATATTTAAGACTGGAGCTGTTGTCTGGGGACAAGGCTGAGATTAAAGATGACAACACTCTGTGGACCAAGATGGTCTCTAGGACATCAGGATGGTGTCTGCCAATTCTTAACAGTGAAGACAAGGAAATTGGTACTTCCTGGGTTTGTATATAAACTAGACATGATGGTACAGACCTTTAATCTCATCTCTCTAGAGGTTGAAGCAGGAGAAGCAGGCATTCAAAGTCCTCCTTGGCTACACAGCAACTTTGATGCCAGCCTGGTTTACATGAGACCCTGCCTCCAAAAAAGAAATCTTTAGAAAAGAGCCTTTCTCCTCAAGTCAAACGGGAGCCATGAAAAGGCCGTAGGATGTCACTGACATCAGGGGAAAGAAAGCTAAGTTCAGCATTTCATTTGAAAGTCTGTGACACACTTCTGAGTACAGCCTTGTTTGGGGGTCTAGGATAAAAATTCTCCAAAGCAATGTACATTCTGTATGTAGAACTGGCTCTATGACCACAGGTTAAACACTCTTAGACCCCAGTTTTTTTGTCTACACCCCCCACAGGTCACCTTGTTCCAGATCTGGTCAGAGAGATGCAGAGTGGGGTGGGCTTTCTTCATCCCTCACGGTAGTCCCTGTTCCCATAGACACGTTCTGAGAATCATGCTGGGGTTTACTAGCACGCTCAAAGGCATGTGCCTAGGCTGGCGTGCAAGGGTGGCTACGGGCAACCGTGATAGCTAGTGTGCCCTCCTCCCACAGGCTGGCATGATCATAGACAATGGAGTCAAGACGACGGAGGCCTCAGCTAAGGACAAGCGGCCCTTCCTCTCCATCATCTCTGCCAGGTACTAAACCTTGGGACCACTTGTCCCTCGGGACCTCTCTCCTTGCCTGCTCTTCTCCCGCTCCAGCTATGCATTTCTTCGCGCAATGAGTGCTGGCTAGCTGGCAGGGAGCCAGTTGTTGAGATGCAGTACTGTGCTGGAGTCTAAACTAAGTCTGAGTTAGAGTCCAGGCTCCAGTTGCCAAAGGGAGACCAAGATCCCTAGATCCAGATCCCAGTGCAGAGCCAGGACCATAGAACAGTAGGAATGACCAGAGCCATAACAAAACTGGGTTGGGATGCAAAGGTCATCAGAAAGGAAGCCTTCACTGCCACTTAATCGTAGACAATGTGATTTATTAGCCGGGCTAATAAATTAAGCCAGAGCTTAGCTGAAGACCAGAGGCTGCTTTTAAAATGTTGTTGTCAAGCCTGGACCGGATGGTGCACAAATTTAATTCCATCCAGGATTTAGGAGGGGAGCAGAAAGATCTCTCTGTGAGTTCAAGGTCAGCATGGTCTGTACAGTGAGCTCTAGGTCATCCAAGGTGATGTAGTGAGACCCTGTCTCAAAGAAGACAAAAGAAGTTATTGTCAAAGCTTCAGGGTCATTAGCAAAAGCAGGACCTCTTGTCCGGCTCCTATGAGGAGCTAGGCCCTAGAGATGGAATCTCCTGCCTCTGGGAGAAGCTCAGCTTGTCCATACCAGTGCCTGCCTGCCAGTGAATTTCTGTGGAGTCAGAAGTATCTGAGAACCTATGAGGGGAAACCATCTTAAAGAGGCCAGAAGGAGTAGTACCTGTGTCTTCCCATGCTCCAGGTACAGCCCTCACCAGGATGCAGACCCCCTTAAGCCCCGGGAGCCAGCCATCATACGCCACTTCACTGCCTACAAGAACCAGGATCACGGAGCCTGGCTGCGGGGTGGGGACGTGTGGCTGGACAGCTGCCGGTGAGTCTGGAAGGGACGGTGACACTATCACAAGAGAGTCTTGACTGAGGAGCGAGCAAGGCACCGGGGATTCTAAACATACTGACGTTCAGCTCTGTGCTCCCCTGAAAGACAGGGATGTAGGATGGCGGCAGAGTGACGGATACACCCACAGTGCGGAATGCTGAGATATTTGTGGGGATATTCATGGCTGGTCAGTACAGGAAGGGAAAGGGAGCCATGGTGCTGGGTACTCAATGTGTGCCTAAACTTTGGTTTTACTTCTTTCTCACTATACTTCTCAAGAATGCAAATTTAAAAAATGCACAGTTCCAGCTCCATTAATGATAAACTGAGGTTCAGTTAGCGAGTGTCTCACATTGCATAGCTAACGAGGGTTCAAATGAGACTTGATGCTCTAAGCCCAACAAAAAAGGCCCCAAACATTGATTTACCATGAAGTCCCCAGAAGTTGAATGGTTCTCCTTCTGCAAAGAAAATTATGACGCATCCTGCTAATGAGGGTGTATCTTCTTGTCCTTCAGCAGACGTTCTAAGGAAGCTAAGCGTTCAGTGCCCAGTCTGGCTGGCACTAGGGTTGAGGTCCCACAAATAGACAAAGTTGACATGGTCCAGAGCCGACAGAATGGTCTCTTCCAGGACTTTGAGAATTAACCTTGTGTGGTTTGTGGGAATTTGAGGGGGGCAGTATGTCTAGGTGCAGGCAAGGATGGGAGAGGGTACCCCTGAAGATGGGAGAATGGAATATCAAATGGATACCACACTCCAAGTCAGGTGAGGAAGAATCACAGAATGGAGAGTGTGGATAAACCCAGCCTTCAGCACAGAGAACAGGCATGGGTGGATGCTGTGTTTTGAGACACGCTGAGATGGAGATGCTCATAAAGCATGCGGTGAAAATCCCCGCAAATCTTCCAAAGACAAGATAGGATGAATGTTTAGCCTTAGAGTCCCCAACAGATGAGGGGATAAGGGAGCTATGAGTGTCTGTGAGGTCGCTAGGGTCACAGCAGAGCATGGAGAGACCACAGCAAAGCACCAGGAGATACCAGGGAGGAGGAAGGAGTGAGAGAGCCTGGTACCCTAGGTGAGCCTTGGTTGATTGGTTTGAATGGCTAGATCTCTGAAGGGGAAGCGCAGCGTGCTGGAAAGAGGCTGAGCATGAAGTGTGAACTGGGGAGCTTGTAGAAACCAGGATCACACCGGTGTGACTGACACAGAACAACACAGGATTGGGCCTTCCAGGCTTATAGGAGCCATGAAGCCCCTGGAGAGTCTAGAAACAGCAGGTGGTGGGTGAAATAGCCCCTGGGGAAATGAGCCCCTCGGGGAGCCCTGGGCAGGAAGAGAGAAAGGGAACAAAGGAAGTGAAGGCAACCCAGATCTAAGGTCCAGCTCCTTCATGAAGCAGAACCAGTTGCCTCCAGAAACCTGCTCATGCTGACCCTAAAATTGTGCAGAGTTTCTGGGGAGCAGCCGTGATCAGCATAGTGTAATTATGGGGTTTGTTCTTGCTCTTCTCAGGGACAGAGCCTCCCTGGTTTTTGAGAAACTTGTAAACTAGTGGTTTGAGTTGGCTGAGAGTAGTCCCCACACGGTCCACCTTCAGTCAGTGCTGGTCCTGAGGGTGAGAAAGCACCCCCTCCATTTCTCCTGATCAACCTCATAGGCCCCAATGGCTTGGCCCGAGGTGGGCTAGCAAGGGAGGCCTGTGACGCCCAGCTCTCCTGAAGTTAATGCTTCATGCCCCCAAATGCTGAGCACTGAAGACCCCTGCCAGTGTGGGGTACAACTTCTAGCTCTCCACCAGACACTTCAAGGAACACCCAATCTGCGAAGAGAAACCCGACTATCCATTTTCTGGGGAGAGTGGAAAGTTACCATTTCCTCAGTGAAACTCCTCCCTCGATAGTCCACAGTGAGACTCCAGCGACAGAGAAGGGTCCTTCCTTCTATATTCTCATTGACTGTGGAGTGAGAGTGTGTGCTGACCGTCTGTTCTTGTCCCCAGGTTTGCTGATAATGGCATCGGCCTGACCCTGGCCAGGTAAGAGTAACTGTCATTGTGATGGGCCTTCTGTGGGAGCTTATATTTGGACATCTCACCCCACCCCCCACGTCTCCTCTCTGCAGTGGTGGAACCTTCCCATATGACGATGGCTCCAAGCAGGAGATAAAGAACAGCTTGTTCGTTGGCGAGAGTGGCAACGTAGGCACAGAAATGATGGACAACAGGATCTGGGGCCCAGGTGGCTTGGACCACAGCGGAAGGACCCTCCCCATAGGCCAGTAGGTTTGCAATGGTGGGAACTGCACTTTTCTGTATGTGGCTTGAGTCACAGCCATGGAAAGAAGGACGTTAGTTAGTGTTGACTCTGAATTTTTTTGGCTAAGAACATGAATGAGAATGAAATCTGGAATGAGGAGAGAAGTCCAGAAACAGTAAAGACTAGATGCCAACAAGTACACAGTCATCAAATACATGATATGGTCCTAGCCAGTGTTCAGGGAACATGGTGTCCAGAAGAGGGGTTCTGACTCTCCATAACAATTCACATGAAGCCTTTCATCCCCTTCTGAGTGTGGCAGAGAGGCAATCAGGCCACTTACAGGAGGATGAGCAGAGGTGATCAGACCTGCAGCCATGTCTCACACAGATCAGACTCTTACACCAAAACACAGACCATCGCTAGGTGGTCGCCTCTCAAGGCTGCCACGCATACAAGAAGCAAGACTTGCTCCACTTAGGCTTTAGAATTGGCTTAGTTGTCTCTTTGTGGTGAAAATGATGGTTTTTGCTGCTACAGTCAGGACAGAAACACACAAACTGAACCTTTCAACCTGGGTGCATGCATGTGGGTCTCCTCAAAGATATCCTAGAGGCATACTCAGAGGCATATGCCTGCTCTTCTTTGGCCAAGCTGTCAAGAAGGCCTGGCTCCCATCTTAAGGGATGTGGCTGACCCTTTTATTTACAAGTGGGTCTGAGTCTGCATCAGAATTTCTTTCTAGGAGGTTGCCAACCTCCAGGAGCAGGATATTCTGGTAACTTCCCAAGGCAATCATGTCTATGGAAGCATGACAGGTTCAGGCAGGTTCCTCACGCTGCCTTTGAGAGGAGAGAGCTAGAAAGGGCCGTGCAGTTTTGACGGAGGTATATTCTGCCTGACTAGAAGTCGATTAGGATCTGAAGCCCATGGTTTGTGTAAAATGAGCAAGAATGTGCTGACCCCCGAACACCGTAACTGGGAAAATGCACGGGAGCTCTCCCTCCACGAGAATCAGGATTTGAGGTGACGACACCATCAGTTACAAATATAAAAATATGGAAACGCAAGGGGATTTGGGGGCAAGTGGAGGTTTCTTTGGGAAGCATACACAGTAGCTGGGAGCCTGAATAGAAGACCAGGAACAGCTGGGGACAGCCTCTCTCTGGAGACAGATACTTTGTATGCTTCCTTTTCCTTCTTCATTCCCTCGCTTCCTTATGTTTGCTGTGGAATAGAAGGGAAGGGATCAAGCCAGAAGCAGAGACATGGGCATAAGTGAACATGTTAGATTGAGAAAATGACAAGCTTAGATTTGTGACCAGCTCTGAGAAAGGCCACCAAGCAGGCTGACCAATCCCTCCTGGGTCATCTTCCATACCCTGCTCAAGAGTCTCAAGCGAATGGGAAGGATCCCTCTGAGCCCCTCCTCCCTGCCAGGCAAGGGTGAAGTTTCCACATCATTAATTCTTCCCTGGTCCCTCCATGTCTCCCAGCTGCCACCTCTTTCCCACTCCCTTCCTGCTGCTCTGAGTATCAAGCCTTCTCAGGGGCCCTGTGTCTGTCTGTGGCCTTGCTTTTCTAGCAAGAGCAGCCTTTGCCTCTGGCCATACTTGAAAGTTACATTGTCATTCTTTTTATCATGGCCCACGCTGTGTGGTTCTGTTCCTTCCAGTGTCCCAAGCCCAGCACATTGCTGCTGGGTAGACTTACAGAGGAAGCTCATCTGGATCTTAATCTGATTAAATTGCCATAGCAACTAGAACTAGGACGATAATGACTAACAGCGTTCCGCTCCCGAGGGACAGAATATTGGCAGTCTCTTGAAGTATTTACAGTATTTTCCTACTGACTGGACACACTGATGGGAAGAGGAGAGAAATTGTCTAAACAGAGGTCCCTGAGCCAGCGACTAAATAGACAGCTATTTATCTCCCAGCCTACCGTTCATTCATCCAGCTAGCTGTCCATCATACCCCTCACCCACTCATGTGGTCACCCACATACCACTCATGTGGTCCATCCATCTGCCATCCAGCTACCTACAAGCTCTCCATCTCTTCATCTACCCACCGTTCCGTCATCTGTCTGCCCATCCATCTACCCATGCATCCAACCCAATCCATCCATCCATTTTCCCAACATCCTTCCATCCACCATCCAGCCAACACATCCCCACCATCCACCATCTCTCTTCGGCAGTCTTTCTTTTCACTGACACTGTCTGTCCATACATGGCTTCCCAGTGAGTTAGTTGACTTAATGATTCTCAGTGGAGGGGGTTGCTGGAGGTGGGAATCTGGAATAACACGGAAAAGCTCTCACCAGTCACCTCTGAAGAAATAACAACACAGCGATCATCTGACGTCTGACTTCCTTAACTCCACAGGAATTTTCCGATTCGAGGGATTCAGTTCTACGATGGTCCCATCAACATTCAAAACTGTACCTTCCGCAAGTTCGCGGCCCTCGAGGGCCGGCACACCAGCGCCTTGGCCTTCCGCCTAAACAATGCCTGGCAAAGCTGCCCCCACAACAATGTCACCAACATTGCCTTTGAGGATGTCCCGGTGAGTATGGTGCCAGGACAGACTCCTGGCATGGCCAGGCTTTGAGTGATGACTCACATGTCCCCCACAGTTTAGAGATTGAGCTGTCGCCGCCACCACCACGAGGGTGGAATAGCTTCCTCCAAGTAGGCTGGACTGGGTCCCAGTTTGCTTTCTGCCCAAACTGGAAAAGTACAAGCTCAGGTCACAGAAAAAGGTCGAGTCTGGGTGAATGCCCATTGGCCTTCAATCTATGCCCCAGTAAGAACCTAGAGATGAACTTGGGGTTCTGAAGTTGTTCCTCCAGACCCCTGCCACACCAGATGTTGGGACCAGGCTACTTAAATTGGCACAGATCATCTCCCAACTCCAGCAGTGTCCAAGGGAAGTCTTCTGAAGACATTGTTTAACTTCATTCTGAAAGTAGAATGTAAACAGGGGCCTCCTGCCTGTAGATGGAGAAGGTGGAGGAGCTGAGGGTCAGGGGAGCAGATCAAGGCTGTCTGTGGGGCCTGCTACTTCTAACTATTCCCATCTCCCCTGTTTGCCCACCCCCTCCTCAGTTCTTCCTCCTTCTTCCTACTACTGTGTTTGCCTTTCTGCCCAGTCACTGGTAAGATAGGGAGCTTAAGTTACTTCATTTCTTCACACAGACCCCTGAGGGCCTGCAGGAGGTCAGTCACAGAGATAATCCCATGGCTTGCACTGTGAGGTCGTCTTCAAATCCAAAGCACCCACTCACAAGCTCATACACAATTCTCAGACACGGGTACCCCCTATGCACTATGTGTACACGCTTTCTTGCACAAGCACACATCCCTCACTCCTCCCCAGCTCATTCGCCAGAACGCTCACACTTACTGACTCCTGAGCCCCTCCTTCATCAGGCCAGCCTCCAAGGCCACCTACAGCAGCCAAACCATAGTGAGTGGAGCCAAAATTGTGCGCTAATTTTCGGAGTTGAGGCACAGTGACACTCTGTTTATCAGAGTTCCATGAGATGGTCATCTGTGCGGTTTCCTCCAGTGCCCAAGGGCAGCCTCTGTCTGGCTGCTTTGTAATGTCAGAGGAAATTGGAAACTTTACCGTGGCCTGATGACGGCTGCAGTTTCCTTTCACCTTCGGGCCCAGCCTTATTTTCCTGGGCTCTGTTCAGATTACTTCCAGAGTGTTCTTCGGAGAGCCTGGGCCCTGGTTCAACCAGCTGGACATGGACGGGGACAAGACATCTGTGTTCCACGATGTGGATGGCTCCGTGTCCGAGTACCCTGGCTCCTACCTCACTAAGGATGACAACTGGCTGGTTCGGCACCCAGACTGCATCAACGTCCCAGACTGGAGAGGGGCCATCTGCAGTGGGCGCTATGCACAGGTGAGGATGCCACCCTAAGCCACTTGCTTGTCCACTCACTCCTGTGACAAGGACTCTCATTGCCTGGCGTGTGTCCAACTCTATGTTGGGTCAAGAGCGAGGCAGAATTTTCCTTCCTTGCCTTTCCTGCCCCTCTCTCCCGTTCCATGGGATTTTCACGGTCTAAACACTGCCCTGGGGTGTTTCATGTTAGGATGCAGCACCTACTAACTGCTGGCCTCCAGCTCATACCCTGGGAGCCTTGGCGTCCTTGTGTGTGAACTTGAGCTGAAAGCTGAACTCGCTTGAACCATTGGCTTAGGAATGATTTCAGATGATGCAAATAAAATCCCTCCTCCCATGCCTTTTTAGACATAGAAATATAATACAAACCATAACTTTCCGGGTAGTCATGTTGAAAGATAAAAAGAAATGAGACATTAATTCAATAATATTTTTACACATACTCAAAATGCTATCCTTTCAATGTGTGGTTAATATAAAAATTATGGAGCAATTTTTTTTTCTGTTCATGGACTTCAAGCTTACGCATTTATTTTATATTTCTAGCCTACTTCTTTTTTAAGTATTTATTTTACTTTTGTGGTAAGTGCTTTGCCTTCACACAGGCACCATATGCATGCAGGTGCCCATAGAGATCAGAAGAAGGTGCCAGATCCCCTGGAACTGGAGTTAGGGATGGTTGGGAACCTCTAAGTGGGTGCTGGGAACTGAAACCCGGTCCCCTAGAGGAGCAGCAAGTGCTCTTAACTGCTGAGCCGTTGCTCTAGCCTACGAGCCCATTTCTTATTCTCAGCAAAGCTGCAGAGACCTAGCAAAACAACCAAGCTGTGTTTAATGAGAGGAAAACCTTTTTCAGTGCTCTTGTTTTGAAATGGATTGATTGATTGACGTCGTGACTCAGATCTGCATTTTGAGGTTTAAAGTAATTAAAATAGCATTTGAAAACTGGTTCCTGGGCCACACTGTTCTCATGTCCAGGACTCAATGGGCACACATGACCCATGACTAACATGTGAAACAGTTATATAATGTTTGGAGTGTAAGAACCGGAAATAATTGCCATTACCCTGTGACCATCACTGCCATTTCTTGGATGAACGACTGATGAATGAATGAATGAATGAATGAGGAGAAAGAGGCCAGAGAAAATTGTCAGATTAGGAAGAAAGTACCTGGACCAGGTGGTCCAGAGGAGAAAGAAATATGTGATAACCGCGTCTTCCTGACCACCCTACAAGGCAGGCATTCCTATCACCACAGTGGACATCAGAAAGCTTACAGGATATTTAATTATGTCTTTTGATGCATTGGACAGCCCTGTAAGATGGACAAAGTTGAAGTTTCTTTTTTCATCTTACCTAGCATATATATGTATATATATGTGTGTGTGTGTGTAATATATATTATATGCACATAATATACATGCATATACACATGACACTAGCACATTTTATATATACACACACATACACACTAGAAGGGAAGAGAGCACGTTCTTACCAAAGCACATCATTGCACTTTGGTGTAATGGTCTCTCTTGGTCTTGACTGCAGAGATATCACTTTATGGATATGGGATGAGCCAGAGAGCTGAACAATGTCTTGTGTATGTGTGTGTGATGTATGCATGTTATAGTATGTGTTTGTGTGCTTTTCCCTGAGTGTACACATGTCTTCTACCCATGCCCACCTTCTGTTTTGACATAAGCTCCCTTGAGCCTCTGAAGTCACTGTTTTGACTAGGCTAGATGCCCAGCAAGCTCCCAGGAGTCACTGTTTCTGCCTACCCCCAGTGCTGGGGTAACAGATGCATGCTGCTGTGCCAGCTTTTACATAGGAACTGGGGACCCATACGAAGGTTCTTAGGCTTTTATAGCAGACTTTTTACCTGTTGAGCCCCCTAGAAGAGTGTCTCAAATAGACCTCAGCTCTTTGCCCCTTGGAGATGTAGTGGCTGGCAGTCTTGTTTTCCAGTTTTTTCTTGGAATGAGGAAGCATGCTCTCATCTGGTGGGTACTGATACATACACTACCTGGCCCACGAGCCAGGAGGCAGAGCGTGAAGTAGGGAAACACACCCAGACAAACTCTCCTAGACAGTGAAGGGCCAGCTGTATCTAGAGAAGCATTTGAGTATGCCCCCTCCCACTGGTCATGGTGCTCCCAGGCCCTGACATCTCAACTGCTAGGGAGGTGGAGGCAGGAGGATTACAAGTTTATTAGTAGACCAACCTGGGCAGGCAATTTAGTGAGTCCTTCCTTGACTCAAAGAGTAGAAAGAGGCCTAGGGATATAGCCAGCGGTGGAGTACTTCCTGACACCCATAGTGTTTAATGCATATATGGAGAGAAGAAAGAGAAAGGAAGAAGGGAAAGGTCAGGTAAGAAGGATGAAATGAAGGAATTAGGAAAGGAGGAGGAAGAAGGATGGGAGGGCCCCCCTTCCCCTTTCTTGTCTTTCCACATGTGCATCCATTTTCCACGGTTCACATGTAGCTGGCAGCCAACTCCTGGCAGTTCCGCTGGTCACCTTTTGGAAACCCCAGAAAGTGGCTGCTGAGCGTAGTGCAGCTCAGACTTACCCACTAACAGGGATAGATGTCCCCTTATTTGGTCTCCCTTCCATTCGGGCTCCATAAAGAGACGGTGGCTCTGAAAGGGCCCTCTGTGATCAGGTGTTAGCCAGGCCCTCTGAGACAGTTCTTCTAACAGCCTTTCTGTATGCTTCAAAGATGTACATCCAGGCCTACAAGAGCAGCAACCTGCGCATGAAGATCATCAAGAACGACTTCCCTAGCCACCCCCTCTACCTGGAGGGGGCCCTCACCAGGAGCACCCACTACCAGCAGTACCAGCCGGTCGTCACCCTGCAGAAGGGCTACACCATCCACTGGGACCAGACAGCCCCGGCTGAGCTTGCCATCTGGCTCATCAACTTCAACAAGTGAGTCCGAGCAGCCAGGATCACGTGACCCAGGACAGTGGGGCTGCCTGAGCTCAGGCAGAGACAGTGAGAATTCCTCGTGGTTAGTGGGGACCTCAGGCTGGTCCCTCTCAGCCCTGCAGGAGGTATCCAAAGAGGTTCTTGTCACCCACCATGTCTTTGAGAACCCAGAGACGTGGGCTCAGGATGCATACGGGGTCCGCCTCAGGCAAAACAGCTAACCTCTTAAAGGCTTGGTGTGATTATTGCCTCCCAGGTGCACAAAGCATATGTAGTGAGCTAGTGAGTATACGGTAACTGCCACCCAGCTCCAGGCATTACCGAGTGCTCAGGAAATGGGGAAAAGCTACAGAATGTTGCTGCTGTTATTTATGGGGAAGGACACAAAGCTCCGAGCAGATATCTTAATTACTTTTCTGTGGCTGTGGTAAGGCGTCCTAATAGAAGCAATTTAAGGAAGGAAGGACTTATTTCAGCTCCGGGGTTGATGTTAAAGTGTGTCACGGTGAGGGCATCATGTTGGCCGGAGCTTGAGGCAGCTGGTCACATTGCAGACCGAGAGCAGAGGGAGATGAACACTTCTTTTTTTTTTTCTAATCTATTTATTTATTATGTATACAGTATTCTCAGTATTCTGTCTGCATGTATGCCTGCAGGCCAGAAGAGGGCACCAGATCTCATTACAGATGGTTGTGAGCCACCATGTGGTTGCTGGGAACTGGAAGGTCAGGCAGTGTTCTTAACCACTGAGCCATCTCTCCAGCCCTGAGAAGCACACTTCTTAATTCAGTCTAGGACCCCGGTGGATGGAATGGTGTCATCCACGTTTAGGGAGGATCTCCCCACCTCAATCAACCTAGTCAAGAAAAATCCCTCACAGGCTTGGTGAGAAGCTAGCCTAATCTAGATAATCCTTCCCAGTATGCCCTGGGGGATTACAGCTTTTCCCAGACTGCTCAAAGACCTACCAAATCCATCCGTGTAAACCACGGTAAAGAGGAAGTAGTCAGGGTGAGGGCGTCAGATCAACTGTGTAGGTTCACATTCAAACATTTCCTGCATCCATCATGTACTCATCGCTGTGCTCCTAAGACAGACATTTATCCATTGCAGAAAGGAGGAGGAAGCTGGCCCTTCAATCATGCTGTCAGGAAGGGGCTGAGCCTAGCCCTCAGTGGCTTATGTGCTTTAATCATAGCACAGTCGAAAGAACCCCATCGTCCCATCTAAAACCCACAGAGAGCACCCCTAGATCAGCCCTTGAATGCTCATAGGTGGACCCTTGGCCACTGGTGGTCGCTGTCCATCCTTCTCTCCTTGGACACTTTGCCGCTTAGTAATTATTCTTTCAAACCTCCCCACTTAGAGTTCTTTGAGCATTCTTATTATGGTGTGCTCACCCTGGCCTGGACACCCTTGCCCTGAACTAACTCTGCCTCCTTTTCTAGGGGCGACTGGATCCGAGTGGGGCTCTGCTACCCAAGGGGCACCACCTTTTCCATCCTTTCAGATGTTCACAATCGCCTGCTGAAGCAAACGTCCAAGACCGGGACCTTCGTGAGGACCCTGCAGATGGACAAGGTGGAGCAGAGCTATCCCGGCAGGAGCCACTACTACTGGGATGAGGATTCTGGGTAAGGAGGCTCCTCTGGTCTACAGAAGTGGGGCTCAGTTCCCTGTGTACCCTGGGTCTTCCCAGACTCCAGGAACCTAGAGTGTAGTTGATACCGATGAGTACAGAATGCTTTCCTAGGTGCTTTGATCCTCACGCCAACCGTGTTCTCAACCATAGAACACAGTCAAACACTGGGAGAGACATTAGCTTTCTATTAAATCTGCATGTGGATTGTAGGAAAAAATTCGGAAAATAAAGTACAGAGAGTAAGGGAAAAAACAAATAAACGAATGTGGTATGCTATCCCCCAAACCCAAAGGGAACAAACAATCTTCTAATTTGAAGGTGGGAAAAGAAGATACTGGAGACACAAGAGTCTGTGTCAGGGGCCACAGCCCAAACCTTCCCCAGCTGGATCTGAGACTATGACTATCTATTCCCCAAGCCCCCAACTCCTGCTTACCCTCACTGGGTCCTGGTCAACAGAGATCCAAGGGAGGCACAGTGTCTGCACTAAGACACTGAGGAGCTCTTTGGTCCTTTCCCCCGAAAATAAACCCAGGGCTGGGGAGATAGTTAAGCCGATCAAGTGCTTGCTGCGCAAACATGAAGACCAGAGTTCAGCCGCCTAGAACCTACATAATAAAGACAGGCACAGCACCATGGCATTTAAAATCCCAGAACTGGAGAGGTAGAGACAGGCAGATTCCTTGGGCTCACCAGCCAGCCTAGAGTTTAGTCTGCAAAGTCCAGGTAAAAATGCAAGTCCCTTTAGTATGGACAGCTCCTGAGGATGACACCAAGAGATGACCTCTGGTCCCCACACTCACACATAAGTACTTGTGCCTGTACACACACACACACACACACACACACACACACACACACTCCAGGCTAACAACTGAAGTAGTCCAGTATGCTTCACAGTGATGAAGCTGGTCACAGAGAAAGGCGAAAGGTCATTTCACGGTCATTTTGCTTTCCTTATGAGGAGAAAAAACAGAGTAGCTTGTCTCTCTTTTTAAGCGAAGAAAACAACTTGCTGTAGTTAGGGGTGAAATGGAAATAGTCAGGCTCAGAGGAAGGAGTTCCAAGGTGGGAAGTGGTCCCTCGCTTGGTTTTAGCTGTGCCCTGTCCTGCTGGGTTTCCCAGTTTCCACCAAGGGAGGTGTCACCAAACACTGAGTATGGCATAGAAGTATGGCCGTTGGTGGCAGGGCTCCAGGAGCATGGGGCTCACTGAGGCCAGGGCCCTAGTTCCTTCACCACCCCACGGCCCTGACATTCAGCTCACTGGCATACTCACGGGTTACAGATCAAGGCCAGACCTGTGATCTGTACAGAAGAGTGTGGGATAGACGATCTCTCAAGTTCCCCTTGCTCTGATCTGGTAACAAAGAAGTCTCAACACTGCTAGGTTCAGTATAGGAGCTAAGGGGCCATGCTGATGTCTGCCCCTTGGGCCTTGGCATGGGTTCTGATGGGGAAGGGAGCCCCAGATGGATGTGGTCATAGGCAACACTAGCAGGAGGTGTTCTCTCTGTGGAGCATCCAGTGGGCACTGGCTCTGCCCTTGGCCTTGAGCTGGAGACTCCCCTCTGTTTGACACTTTCCATTTTAGTCTGGGATCTCTTGATGCCAGGAACAAAAGGTATCTTGTTTGTGTATATGTTTGATTTTTGTGTTTGAGACAGGGTCTCACTAGATAGCCCTGGCTGGCCCAGAACTTACTGTGTAGACCAGGCTGGCCTCAAACTAAAAGACATCCACCAGCCTTTGCCTTTGAAGTGCTGAGATTAAAGATTCAATCCTTTAATGCCATATCCAGCAGAACAAAGGTCCTTGTTTTGTAGTGGCTTGAAACAGCTCAGATGCAAGACAAGGCTCATTCTCTCATGGTCTCATATACATGAATATGTGTGCATATGCCAAGCCTCTTGGATCAGGGTCCTCTCTCAAGCTGCCTTCTTTTCTCGATTTCCGGGGAGGACAGTGGTACAAAATAGTCACAGCAGCCACCCCCCTCATGTCCTTACTACTCAGTTACCAACCAGTGAACGACAAGACTCAACACCTTCTTCATTGTAGCTCACAAGAGAATGCATCCTCTTGTCTCCCTGTAGCCAATAAACAACCTAATGAGTGTAGGCAGAGACTGCTCGTTAGTTTCCTGGCCCGAACACAGCAACTATGTTAATTACAGCACTATTGGGACAATAGCTTAGGCACAATTCTAGCTAACTCTTACATCTTAAATTAATCCATTTCTATTCATCGTGTATCGGCGCAAGGCTGTGGCTTACTGGTAAGGATCCAGCTTCTGGCATCTTTCTCCTTCAGCAGCTACAAATTATCTCCTGAGTCCACCTGTATCCCTGTCAGATTTCCAGCCTGGATTTACTCTACTAAGCCATTGGCCGAAACAGCTTCTTTAATAACCAATGGTAATAAAAACATATTCCTAGCATACAGAGGGGACTCCCACATCATAATGAGAATCCAGTGTGAGCACCTACTCTGGTCAGAAGTGGGGTGGAGTAGGCTGTGTCTCGTGGCCCTGAAACCAAGTGGGCTCATTAAAAGTTGGCTCCCCAAAAGGAAAGCGTAGAGACAGTCAGTCCTTATTATCATTAGCTATTACAGACAAGTCTTGAGAGCATTTTTCTGAGGTGAAAGAAACAATAACAGATGCCAAGTTAGTTCTGCGGTGGCCTCATCGTCTGCCTCCTTGGAACATGGGTCAGCTTCCTTCCCCATAGTTATTATTAGAAGTTATGGCTTGAAGGAGAGTAGAGTTGGGATCCACACTGGGATGGGAATCCTCCCAGCTCTGTCAGTCCCCAATGGGGCAGTTACTTCTCTGGGACAATCCCCATCTGACAAGTCAGTGTGATAATGGCACACAGTGGGCAAAGTTGATGATTAAATTAGACGATACATCAATTTACAGTTGCATGACACAGTCCTCAGAAAATATCTGCCAGCACTCTTAGCCCCATCTTGAATATATTCCTAAAATACATTTATTTTCTTCCTCCAACTGTGTATGATTCTGTGACAGGCACAGTTCATGATTTAAAGCCCTCAAGATGCAACCTCGGTGGTAAAGAGATTTTTTTGATCTGTTTGTTCATTTGTTTGCCTGAGACAAGGTCTTGCTAGGTAGTCTACCTGGCCTTGAACTCAATAAATAGACCAGGCTGGCCTTAAACTTGAGATGACCCTCCCACCTCTGCTTCTCAAGTGCTGGGATGACAGGTGGGTGCCACCCTGTCTGATTTGGGTGGGAAGAAGGTTCTAAGTGTCCCGTAGGAACACCCAGGCTCCTTCTGTGCTTAGGTTGCTCTTCCTGAAGCTAAAAGCCCAGAACGAAAGAGAGAAGTTTGCCTTCTGCTCCATGAAGGGCTGTGAGCGAATTAAGATCAAAGCCCTCATCCCGAGGAATGCGGGTATCAGCGACTGCACAGCCACCGCTTACCCCAGGTTCACCGAGAGGGCCGTGGTGGATGTGCCGATGCCCAAGAAGCTCGTTGGAGCTCAGCTAGTAAGTGCCCATGCATGCCTCTGGGGGGAAGGGGGGCTCAGACCTAGCTGAGCTCCTCTCTGGACACCTACTCAGCCCCATGACTCAGTTCTGGGTCAAGGCTCAGGGCACATGAGGAGAAAGACCACCCAGACCTCACAGCCTCACTACTGTTCCATGTTTGTTTCTCAGAAGACAAAGGACCACTTCCTGGAAGTCAAGATGGAAAGTTCCAGGCAGCACTACTTCCACCTTCGGAATGACTTCGCGTATATCGAAGTAAGCAGAGGTTCTGTGGGGACCAGGCTGCTCACTGAGATGGAGTGGGTGGATTATCTCCTTCTGTCTTACTGTGAACACAGAACCCACTGACTTATGGGAGGGAAGATGGGTCTTGGCTTGTGTTTCCAGAGAGCTCTGGTCCATTGTAGCGAGGAAGGTACAACGGCACAGCTCAGTGCACAGGGACCTGCTGTCATGGTTGATTTTCCATTGCTGTGATAAAACACCACGACCTAGGTAACTTATAAACGAAAGGGTTTAGTGTGGGGCTTGTGGTTTCAGAGGGCTAGCGTCTATGGTGATGGAGAGAACATGGTGGTAAGAACATCTGAGAGCTTCCGTCTTGACCCAAAGAAAAGGCAAAGAAGAGGGAGACACCGGGAAGAGGGGGAGTCTTTTGAAACCTCTAAGCCTGTCCCTAGGGACACACCTCCTCTAATAAGGTCACATTTCCTAATCCTTTGCAATCCGTCCCACCAAATGGGGACCAAGCAGTCATGTCACAGGAGCTTTGCTCATTCAAACCCCAGCACCTGCTCAGGTAGCAGAAGCTGTTGACTTCCTGGGAGGACCGGGGAACCGAGAGAGGCAGAAACTAGGGGGTCAGGAATAACTTTTAAAGACCAACTCATAGTCACCGACTTCCTCCAGCTGATTCACCCTCCTAAAGGCTCCACACACTCCTGAAACATCCTCACCAGGTGGGGAGCAAAGGTTCAGAGCATGAGCCGGTGGGGGCATGTCAGGTTAACCCTTAACAGGTGGTGGTGTGATGAATTGCCACAAGCTGCATGGGTTAAAAGAGAAGAAGGTTGTTCTCTTTGAGTTTGGGAAGCCTGAGAGCTTGCTCTAACTTCCAGTGACTCTAAGGACCTTTGGATAAGAGTCACTTAGCTGACATCCTTGGTTCCATCTTCATGAGGTCTTTCCTCCTTTGTTCCTATCCCATATCTGTCACCGTTCTTCTTAAGGGACCCCCATCATTGGATTTAGTGCCTGCCCCAAACATTTGGGATGTTCCTGTCCTGAGATCCATAATATTGTCACCTCTGTATGTCACTATGCATCTTCAGAAACATTATTTCTAGATAAAAATCAAATCCACAGGTTCCTAGTGGGCATGTCTTTCTTTTTTGGGGGGATCACTATTCAAACCTACAGACAGCACAGGAAAATGACGTGAAGGGGTCTCATAAACTGAGCAGCTGTGTAACCAAACTCTGTCTCTAGTATCTATGTAGAACGGAGACCCTTGGGGCCTCAGCTGCCCCAGGATCCCTCACGTCTGTGTTGCTTTGGCCCTGCAGGTGGATGGCAGGAAGTACCATTGCTCAGAAGATGGGATCCAGGTAGTGGTGGTTGACGGGAACCGAGGTCATGTGGTGAGCCACGGAAACTTCAGAAGTGCCATCCTGCAGGGTATACCCTGGCAGCTCTTCAACTATGTGGCAGCTATCCCTGACAAGTGAGTCTACGTCTCAGCTTTTGGCCTGTCCAAGAACACAACAGATTCCTGGCTAGGGTCCTGTCTGTCCTGTCCAACCCCTCATGATACTTGCCAGTTGGGATGATCTGTGCCTACAGATTGTGCCTACCGTGTGGGGAGGCCTTCATGCCCGTCGCTGCTCCCGCTAGAGGCAGGGCTGCTGTGGATGTAGGTCAGGCGAAGGCATGGAGGACCTGCTGCCTCAAACCTTGGAAGGCTGCCTGACCCTCTGCCCCCGTCACAACACTCTCTCCCAGTGATCTCATCCCCGCCCACGCCTCCAATAGGATCCAAATGCTGGTGGCTTCTGAAGCTCTCCAGCTTGGATCTCTTTCCTAAAACCTGGAACGTTCCTATCCAATGGGTGCTTAGAGGATGCCCCCTAGATGTCTCTTGTGGAACTAAATTCTCATCCCCTTGCCTCTCCCTTTCATCCTTTAATCCTCCAGATCAACCACTCCTTCTGTTGTGGTTTTTCTAAATCATCATTCTCCCAGACATTTAGACCAGAATCTGAACTTAATCCTGGGTATCTTTCTTCCACCCCACATCCTAACCCAGTCCATTGCCCTCCCACCTGGTCTTTCTCCGGTGTCCCCTCTGTCCCTGTTGTTCAACCAACACCATGACCGAGGGTCCAAACCAACTCTTTTCTTCCCATCTCCCATACTGGACGTTAGTTTGAGCTTCTTAAATGTGAGGATCCTTGGTAGCCTCTCCTCACCTCTTTTTGAGTCTAGCACAGCTGGGTCCCCCTCCCTGAGGTCTTTTCCCATCCATCCACCATCTTCCACAGGAATATTGCTTGAGCCAGAACCAGGAGCCTTGGCAGATGCCCCGTCAAGGAATCACACTTCTTGATAGCGGCTCCATAATGGACTTAATTTACGCTTGCTGAGTCCCTGAACTGTCACGTGTGTGTAGAAAACCCTCTGCAGGCGCAAGCTGGTGGGGGAAAGGCTCTGTGCAATTCGTGTGGCCCCTGTAATACCTACGTGCTTTGTAGTCAAAGAGTGGAGGGAGACAAGCACCCGTCCGGATATACTCTCGGGGCCCTGGGGGAACTGGGCTCCATGTGCGATTCTGGAGAACAGGTTTTGCTTGGTCACATTTGGTATCTGTTCTTCCCACAGCCAGTGTTCCTTTCACATCATATTTACATGTATGTATGTGGAAGCCCACAGGTGTAGGTATATATGGGTGTGCACACATGTGTATGAAAGCCAGAAGACAGCCTTGGGTGCCATTCTTTAGGCACTTGGAGATTTTTTGGTTTTGGTTTTTTGGTTTTTGATTAAAAAAAAAAAACAAAAAAACAAATCTCCTATTGGCCCAGAACTCTCCAAGTAGGTGAGGCTGGCTGGCTAGCAAACCTCAGGAGTCTGACGCTTGTCTCCAATTTCTAAACAGGTGCCACCACACCTGGCTTTATTTGACATGGGTTCTGGGGGGCAAATGCAGATCCTCCTAAGACAAGCACATTTCCTTTAGGCCGAGCCAGTTCCCCAGCCCCACACTTCAATTTTCTTCATGCACAGATTCATACAGAGGGATGCAGCTTTCCAAATGGAGGAAGCACATTTATTATCTAGATCAGTAGGGCTCGGGCCTTTTTTGGCCACAGGACTTTTTTTTTGAAATGAACCAGAGCACAGAAGCTGGGAGTGAGAAACAGCCCCCAGAGCGGCTCTGTTCGGAGTCGGGGGTGGGGCTCCTCAAAGTCTTTGCACATCCCTAGGAGAAATGTAAATAGTCTCAGTCAGTCTTTGGCTGACGGGAGAAACGTAGAAACGTAGTCTTTGGCTGACAGTGGATACGCAGACAGGAAAGGGTACCTCCGACCCCTCCCTGGCCTCCTGGGAAGCAGCAATTGGGTGGGGCTGGAGAGGTGTTTCTGTTCTGACTCAGACCCAGGCTAGGCCTGTTCCACTCTTCCCCACCCATCCCCAGGACCACCATTGTCCCCAGGGCCCCAGCAACTCACACCTTAGACACTGAGAACAGCTTCTGGGAACCCCTCCGACCTTCCACCTGTGTGAGACAATGCCAGCAGGCCCAGGGGCTGAGTGGTCAAGAGAATAATGTACCAGACAGAGAGGCCCTGATATAAACCATACCAGAAGGCTGTGTGATGGGCACACCTAGCTCCGTGCCCCTCTTCTGTCAGCTGGCCCAGATACCACCCTGAGTGTATGACCTTCCTTTGAGTTCTCTGCCACAGACCTTCAGTGTTTGAGGCTGAACAATGGGGAAATTTCCTCCTGGTAGCAGAGCCTGGATCCACCCCAAGGATGTGTTTGCAGTGAATTCTCTCTCACTTAATGGGCCTCAGCTTGCCAATCCCTTGGGTCTCCACCTTTGAGCCTTCTTAAAGAGCCCAAGACAGCCTCCCGGCTGCCCTCCCATTTTCCCTTATTGTACACTAGTTCCCCTTCTGCTCCCAGTGGGACAAAGCTGGGGGTAAAAGCGAGTTCCAGAATCCCGTACAGTTTTTCCATGTCTGGACTGTGGTCTGTGGTTTCAGAATTCCATGGAATTGGGAGTTGGAAGCCCTGTGGGGCTTCTGCCCTCTTTCTGTTCTGAGGGCGCTGCTCACTCCCCTGTCTGGCCCAGCAGGAGGCTGCCGCTGAGGAGACTGTTTTCTTAGCCTTGGGACCTAAACACAGCCCAAAGCAGGAAGAGCCTGACCACTCCTCCACCTAGACTTTGGCAAATTGGATTCTCTGCCCCCTGCCCTCCCGAGCGACCCCTCTGGGAAGCCCTCACAGATAGTGTGTAACTGTTTGGCCAATATCCCATTGACAAAATCAGACTGATCTTGCCTGACCAGAGAGGGAGGTGATACACAACGGAGCCCATTCTGGAAATGCAGTGATTACACAGTGTTCTTCCCAGAATGCTCTCGAACTGGGTCACACTCTTCCCGCAGCTGAGAGGAGGCTGGGCTGTCCCAAGCCCAGTGCCATCCACAGAAACCACTCACACAGACCCCGGGCTCCACGCTTGCTGCACAAACATTAGGGCCTGCGCTCAGACCCAGCAGCAGTGTAAAAGGCCACACCTGTGCCTGTGAACTGTGGGAGACAGAGACAGGAGGACCGCTCCGGTTTGCAGGCTGCCAACCCAGCAGAAGTTTCCGTGGGAGGCTCTGTCATAAGGGAGTAAGGTAGAGGAGGGTAGAACAAGGCATCTGACATCCTCCCATGGTCTCTACACATGCACACGACACACAGATCCACACACAAAGAAAGATGGGGAGACAAGAGAGAGAGAGAGAGAGAGAGAGAGAGAGAGAGAGAGAGAGATGGGTTCCACAGGGAACCTGGCACAGGGCATGGTCACTGTTCTTACAAATTCAGCCAAGATTGTGGGAACTAAGCTTGTAGGTCAGAAGGTCTGCTGTGAGTTGGCAGAAGGATCCCTAGGGACTCCCACGTAGAGCCACTGAAGCAGGTCTCCAAGGCTCCGTGCGTCAGGCACCCTTGATGGCTGCTCTTTCCTCTTCCCTGTATCCCCATTCTCATTCCTTTTTTGCTCCCTTCTATCTGCCTTGGCTTTTTCCTTCGCCGTATTTCTGTTGGTTTCTATCCCAAACATGGGTGAGATTATTTGAATGAAGAAGTACATATTAACTGGGCATGATCATGTATGCCTATAATCCCAGCACTGGGGAGGCAGGTGGATCTCAATGAATTTTGAGGCCGGACTGTTCTACATAGTAAATTCCAGGCCAGCCAGGGTCACATAGTGATTCCCTGTATCAAAAATAAATAAAATCAGAAAGAAAGAAAACGGGAAGGGAGAGAGGGAGAAAAAGAAGGAAACAAACGTGTAACTACGTACAAAGACGTGAAATAGCATGAAACTTTGAGAAATTGTCTTAGGGCTTTTATTTTTGCGAAAAAACACCCATGACCATAACAACTCTTATAAAGAAAACCTCCAACAAGGCCAAGCCTCCTCATAATGCCACTCTCTATGAGATTATGGGGGCCAATTACATGCAAGCTACCACATTAATGCATCTCAAGTGGAAATGCAATGTCTTAAATAAAACTATTTTGTGTGTGTGTGTGTGTGTGAGAGAGAGAGAGAGAGAGAGAGAGAGAGAGAGAGAGAGAGACTGTGAGCCCCAGAACAGGATGTGGTATCTTGGTATGGCACCCTAAGAGAACATGCTCCTTACACATACTCTCTGCTTGTGGGCATACAAATAAGAGCAAGGATCCCTCTCTAGGCTTGAGAAGGCCAGGGACACCAGATGTTGGGAGATTCCCTATCACCGAAAGGAAAGAGTACGTTGGATAAGACAGAGGGAGGATCCCCTTTTTCTCAAGCCCCTGGCCAGGCCTGGGCACTGCACCTCAGGTTCTACCCAAGGCCAGCATCGCTCCCCCGTATACCCCTCGCTGCAGTTTCCTCTCGTTCCTGTCCTCTGACCAGTCCCTTCTTTCTCAGTTCCATAGTTCTTATGGCATCCAAGGGCAGATACGTCACCAGAGGCCACTGGACCAGAGTGCTGGAAAAGCTTGGGGCAGACAAAGGTCTCAAGTTGAAAGGTGAGTCGGAGTGAGGTGTAAGCTGACCTCAGAACCAGGGGCAGATGGGGTGGAGATACCGTTACCCTTACTGCATCCATAACACCCTTTCCCACTAGGCTTGGGTAGAACCCCAAAATCCTCAGCAACGCCAGGGGCCTCCTGGCCTAGTGCCAGCTGCTCACCATCCCTGCACTACAGTGCATTCATTCATTTTCCCCTGGGACCAGACACTGGTCCAAAGCTTTTTGCCCCCTCCACTCCACAAGCAAAAGCGCCATCATAAACTGCCTTTGTCAGACTGTTCAGCCTGGTCAAGGGCCTGGTTTTTTTTTTGTTTTTAGTTTTTTTGAGACAGGGTTTCTCTGTAGCTTTGGAGCCTGTCCTGGAACTAGCTCTTGTAGACCAGGCTGGCCTCGAACTCAGAGATCCACCTGCCTCTGCCTCCCGAATGCAGGGATTAAAGGCATGCGCCACCACTGCCCGGCTCGTGTCTGCTTTTGTAGCATCTATTACAGTTGGAAAAAATTTCTTGTCTTCTGAGACAGGAAGAGAAGAGAGAATTAAATCCCAGACACCCCTCCATGCTTTTGTGGGTTGCATAGCACCTCTTCTGTGATGAAACCCAACCCCGATTTCCTGGATATACTGGACAAAGCCAGTCAGCTATAAATATCCACCTGAAGCTCATGTATCATAGATCGTTCAGAGCGAGACCCCGGGGAGATTTAAACAAGAGGGAGCAGATGTGTGAGTGAGAATTACCGTGATAGTTACCACTCAGTGCCAGCCTCGTGCCGTGATGGACTTTTAATAATTACCCCCTGCATTGACAAATAACTCAGGCAGCGGGCATGGTTCCCTCCACAGAGGAGGAAGAATTCAACAGTTACCTAGGGAGATGCTTGGATACGGACCCTACCTTCCTGAGCCAGGTCCTGACTAACTGTGCCCTGATTATAATGAACAGCAAAACCAGCTACCCATCATGTCAATACTTATCCCATTGCAGCAGGCAGAGAAAAATCCTGAAAGATAAAAAGCCTACCACAGCAGCCAGTAGAGAGAGGGAACCTTGCTTCCCCAGGCCTATTTCCAGGATTCTATCTGTTAAATTAAGATGCTGTTGCCCAGGGCTCAGATATGCAATGGCCAGCGTCAAGTGGTACTTGTCCAGAGGTGAGAGGTGTGCACTGCCTTCCAGCCTGAGTCACTCCTGATGTATACATGGACCTCCAGGTCACTGGAGTGCAGGGCAGACACCAGGCAGCACGGAAGCCTAAGAGCTGGGGCTCTACTCAGTCCCACATTATGTGTCGTTCATGTCCTGGGTAGATCCTTCCTCCCCCTCTTAGAGCCACAAAGTGACAGAGCTGAGGATGAGATCTTGAAGACAAGTGCCACCACTTCACAGGTGGAGTCCCAGGCTACAGAGACTTTCTGGTACCCATCGGTCAGCTGGAAGGCAGGCAGGCAAGCAGGAATCCTACTGGCACCCTTCCCTACCCATCCACCCAGTCTCCTGCTGTGCATGGCTCTCCTATAGCAGAGAGAGCCTCTGCCCCACTGAGGTGGCAATGAGGCCCGAGTGATACCTATAGGCCCATACAGAAAATCCAATCTGAGCACCAGCTGGGCAGTGAGCTTACCCAAGAGGGACACAGCCCAACGGAGCTGGGAAGGGATTGCTTCATCAGGGCAAAGGATGCTGAAGGGGAGTGCTAGGGCGTGGCAGGCAGCGCTCTCACCTGCTTGTTTTCTCCCTTGACAGAAAAAATGGCGTTTGTCGGCTTCAAAGGCAGCTTTCGACCCACCTGGGTGACTCTGGAGACTGACGAACACAAGGCCAAAATCTTCCAAGTGGTGCCCATCCCAGTGGTGAGGAAAAAGAAGTTATAAGGACAGCTGCCACTTGTCAACACCCCAGGCTGGACTCCTACGGCAGCCAGGGACAGAATGCCTGGGTCCCCTGGCTGTCAGCCCCACTCGGCTAAGGCACAGATATCAAAGACCTCGGTGCTGCCACCTGCCCCCAACTCAAGTCTACCTGCAGCAACCCGGGCAGTGTTGGCTGATGCTATGACCTCCTCTTGGGTGCTTCTCTCCTGTCTGTGCCTCATCAGGAGAGGCTCGGGGACCATACAAAGAGACCTGGGTTGTGCTGGCAGCAAACAGCCACTGGGGCAGGAGTCTGACCCCAGATAGGAGGGGGTCCAGATGATGGGACCACTCCCAGATTTCCACAGCCACTTGCGGACACATTAAGTGGCGGATGGAGGGAAGGCCATCTTTACTCCTGTAAGCGTGGATAAGGCTTCTTGGGGTTAGGAGCTGGCGTGCAGACAGAGCTGGTCAGAGTGGCAGACTCTGCTGGGGAGGAGATGGAGTCCTCTGGTTCGAAGAGGCTCCCTTTTCAAAAGACTTCAGCTGGTACATTGCAGTGGGACTAGGTGGCTCATGGTGGCCCTTCCTGAGATTGCAGAACTCCACAGTGTTTTGCTCTGTGCCTCGAGACCAGCGGTAGAAGTCATCATTGTAGCTGACATCTCTGCCGTGAATGCCCTTGATACAGGGGATGGAGAGGCGAGAGCTCACACTTGGGGGGGGGGGGGAGCTGGGCTCAGCAGGTGACAGGCAGCCAGGTCTTTGTACACTCTGACACCAGGATGAGAATCCAGAAAGAAAGTGATGCGGTTGACAAGTGGTAGATCAGAGAAGGGGAAGTTCACACTACCCAGGAGCATGGGGGGAAGGCTCCTTCTGGGGTGCCATGGTGCTGGCAGGAAGGAAGAACAGAGATAGTAAAGAGAGATGAGGTGGCCTCTGTCGTGGTTCAGAGGTGGAAGGCTTTCCTGCCACTGCCTGTAGCCTCTGTGTCACGGCAAGTTACCGTCTGCCTTCCATGGCTGACCCACTTGATAGAGAAGCAGGGTCGGCAGAGGGAAAAGAGCTGAGCTGTGGTACGCAGAACCTAGTTCACAGTGGTCTCCAGCTAGCCCCCTCTGACTCTAAGAGATGGGGGAGCGAAGTTCACAGACCTGAGCCTCTACAATGGGCCTCCAGAGTCTACTCTCCTCCAAGAGTGGAGTAGACAACTCCAGGATATCTGAGCATGCTCACACCCTGGGGTGTCAGAGATTTCCAGAGAGGGCCTTGGGGACCCCTCGAGGACCACCTAGTTCAGAGCTTTGCACCTACATCTAAGGAGAGTAAGACCCGAGATGGGGAAGAACCACACGACCAGATCCATGAACCCCAATCTCAGTATACACTGCCACATCATGGCGCCTCAGCAGCTAGCCCGGGGTGTCCAGTGCTGAAGGAGCTGCCGGAAGGGGGCATATCCCATGCAGCGGGAGAAGAAGCCAGAATAGAATGATCTTTTGTAAAGGGCTTTTTCATCTTGCACCTCAGTGCACACTGCCCGCTCTCCTCCAGGCAGTAACCCTGCCATCTTCTCTTTCTTCATACTGCCTGCCTCCCTTGGGCATGGGCTGCTCATGACTGTGGAACCTTCTTGGTGCTATTGTATTCCACAGTGGTGCTGGAAAGCCCAGTGGCTATCATCCGGATATGCCAATGCTCTTCTGGTGGGCCAAATTGGCTTTTCACGGGGATCTGAGTGTGGTTGGTTTCAGCCCAGGGTCTCTCAGCTAGTGTGCACCCTGTCTGAGCAAATAGCTCGGATGAGCAGAAACTATCCATGTTTGATGCTCTTCTGGGGTATCAGGTGTTCCCTGGGGTTCATGAATGGCATGGGTCCCCTTTCCTTCCCAACCACAAATTCTTTCCAAGACTTTCTTGGTCCTCTTCCCCCAGCGGTGCCAAGGAGCCTTATTCCCAGAGCCCACTCCCCAGGCTGAGCCAAATCCCAGAGGGTCTTTCCCACTGAAGGGACCCAGCGTCTTAAGACAGGGTTGCTTCAGTGGCCAACATCAGAGGAAAGACCTCTTCTGGGGAGATGTGTGGGAGCGGGGAAGGGTATAAAAGTGACCTCATCTTTTTCTTGTTGAAGCTTCATTGAATTTTCAATGCGAGGGGCTCACATCGTGAGCCACTTAAGATACGATCAGTTTCCGGTGGCCGTGAATGTTGAATGTCTTTGGCTCGGTTCATTTCAGCAAATACCTATTGGAAAGTTCTCCAGATTTGTACATATATTGAACAGTCGGGGTTCTGTACAGAAAGGGTTCTTTCCTAAACCATACACCAAGAGTCCCTGTCCAGGCATTTTCTTGGTAGTACAAATGTCTTTCTTGCTTAGAAAGTTGCTTTGTCTCTTCTGTTCATCAGCATTGCCACTGATTTGGGGGCCTTTGATTGAAAGGCTCCTGAAGGGCTTATCTTCTTTCTGTTGGCTAAATAGCTGGCCCTTTCTCAGAAATTGGATGTACAGCATGTTTTGTATGTAAATGTTTCTTGTAGGTGTCACCATGAACAAAGGTCTATTTTCTATTTATTTATTATATATGTACTTCAAGAAGTCACTGTCAGAGGAGTGAAGAATCATCTTAAGTATTCTGTCAGAGGATGTCCTTTGGAGCACTGGGAAGGGGTGTGCCCAGAGCTGAGGCCTTCAGCTCTGGTCTGGAAAAATTCTGCTGTACCATATGAAACATATAAAAAATGTCATTGTCTTGTCTGCTTGGTTCATTTCCTGGGACAGTGAGTCTCGTGTTAAACCATTTGTCTGTGGAAAATAAGATGGAAATCACCCAAGTCTGCCCCACTTACTTCCTGGTCTTATTCTCAAGAGCCATTTGCATATCCGAATCCCTCCTTGCTCGCATCCCACAGGAGCACTGGGAAGAGCAGAGGGGAGGGTGCGCTGGCAGAGAAGACGCCATTTGTGTGATCAGGCAAAGACTCTTGCCTTATCCCCATGTCCCTAAGCCACCAGGATGCTCTCAATTCTCCCCCTCCTACTGGGGAATCTGGGAGAGGCATCACACTGTGGAGCCAAAAGACCAACTGCTCTTCCTCTCAGGTCCTGACCACAGGACAAACTCCACGTTTGAGAGGGGCATGGGCACAGAGGTAGAGAAACAAGGCCAATCTGAACCCCAGACAAGGGTTAGGGATAGGTGGAATGGGCTCCGGAGGGGAGTGAGGAGGCACACTGAGCAGAGTGAGAATGGTCTGGACCACTTGTTGATACTGACATTTAAGAACAATGTAAAATATAGTTCCTTATCCGTACTGGTCACACTGCATATTCTCCACGGCTGGAGGAATCTAGTGAACGTCATTGTTGACTGTGTGAATATAAAGCACGTCCACCACCATGGAAAGGTCTTCTCTTGATACAGTCCAGAATGCTGCTTAGACTTACACATTGGCATTTTAAAAAGGAACATCTGTGCCCTTGTGTGAGCAAAAGAGTGTGAATGTGGATGTACACAATCAACTTAAAGGAGCTGGTTCCAGGTTAGTGGTGCTAAGCTGTCTGTAAACAGTTATTAGATGAGCCATCGCTGAATACACTGTGTAATCAATACAGTGAATTCATGACCCAAGCCTTCAGAAAATGTCTTCATTGAGTATGACGGCGGAATTCTGTAATCCCAGCACTGGGGAGGATGAGGCAGGAGACTGGAGAGCAGAATAGAATGTACTACTGACTGATTACTTAGTGCCTCTACAGTTCCTCCTGGTGGGTTCCTGGGGACTGTGTCAGGAGCAACAAAAATATCCCCTGGGTCCACTCTGGTCAAGTATTGTTTCTTTAAAACTGTGGATCCTCCTGGGAGTTGCAGGGTCCTATAGAACCCAGTGGGTAAAAGTACTGGCCTGGTGTCCTCAGTTTCTTCCCCAACCATGTACTGTCACACACACAAACCCTAATAAATACAATTTATTTTTTTTTAAGACCTAGTCTCAAGGAAAGACAGGAGAGGGAGGAGAACAGGGGAGCAGGGGGGAAACTTTAGCATTGGGAAGCAATCACGTTTGAACTCTTGTTCTATGCCAGACACCATGCCCAAAAAGCAACAGGAAACAGTAAAATATGCCAGGGCATTCCCAGGGAGGGGTGTAGCAGGATTCTTTAAGTAGGGAGGAATTTTAATGTCAGTTAGAATCACCACGAAGGCCAATAGGCTGGGCAGAGATATCAGGGTTCACCTCAGAGTCATGTAAGACAAGAAAGGGACCTTTACAGTCCAGCCAGGGGTAGTGACCAGAGTTTGAAGACTTGAGGACATCCCAGCATAAAACGTGCTACCTTACAAGAGGGCTGGTAGGAAGCGGGGCAGGGCCAGACAAAGGGTGATGAGATGATGGGCGGGGGCACCCTAAGATTCTCAGCCAAAGATGTCCCCTCCCCCCTCAGTTTAGCAGAGGATTCACTGTAAGAGTGTGACGGCCTCTCCTGTATTAAACAGCGGCTAAGAGAGAAGCACATGGAAGTCATTTGAGAGACTTCCACAGCAAAATGTCAAATTTGCAGGTGCTTTGGAAATTACTGGAGCTTTGCGAATGAAGCATATTATAACTCTAGTAAGTAGTTTTATATAGTTTGGCTTATTGAGAAGATAAGATGAAACACATTTTCATTTTTCAGATCTATACACTTTTTTTTTCTTTTTCAACTTATGCTGACATATACAAATAAGGGCCCGATCAGTAACAGAGACCCCTGAATGGACTGTGGGGAGGCCTTTGACAGGTGATTACCACTGCCAATTGGATCCAAAGCAAAATAAGCCACATGTGACTAGAACAAACCCTGAAGACCTTTGGTTGCTTCTGATACAGTCACCAGGTCCTCACGAGGAGGAGCTGTAGAGCACTAGGCAAGCTCCTAGCCCCTGTCTAGAAGCTGGATGGAGGCTGGCTGGCTGGAGATGCGCTCAACACCACCAGGGAAGAGGTGAAGACAGAGGAGGCTCCATGGAGGGAGCAAGATGGCACTGCGGAGGGTTCTGTGGACATTGCCTCCTGAGGACCTCATGATACAGCCTGGAGGCAAAAATGAAGGGGGACCTTCCTACAGTGTGGGCGGAGTCAGTGAGGGAAGGTCACTCCGAGAAAACATGGACTGGCCTTAGGTGGTCAGGAAGGTTACAGCTAAGGTCTGTTTAAATGCCCTGGTAAGCCATCTAAGGAACTCAGGTTTATCTCAGTTACTAACAGGACAGTCTTGGCTTAGGTGACAAATTCCTACCTCTCCATCCCTACCCACCACCTCCGGGCCCCAGATAAGTCCCAAGACAGAACCCTCTTGTCTCTTCTCCTCCTTCCTCTCCTCTCCCCGGGGCCTTGAGGATCTTTTTGTCCCTCCACGTAGCACACCCATCCCTCACTCTCCCCTACTTTGCTCATGAGAATCACTCTGCAGGGCTCCACAAAGCACCCCAACCCAGCCCCTGGCCCAGGATCCTGGGGTTTGCAGCTTCTGTGGGCTGTCACCCTTCCCGCTGCCCCCAGGTGGTGGCTTCCTGAAAATAGGGACCTCTGCCTTTCTTATCTGAGATTGCTCTGTGCCCGGGTGTTGACTACATTTCCCTTCTGCTACCACCAGTGAGGCCAGGATCCTACTAGCTGCCTGTAACCCCAGCTCAGTCCCCGCCCTGCAGGCTGGGAAAATAGGAGGTACTCACCAGGAAAAGCAATGGGATATGGGAGGGAGGGGGCACCTCCTGAAGAAGAGAGAGTCCCGTGACCACAGACTGTGTTGGAGGGTAAGGAAGGAAGAGAAGAGTGGAGTGGAGGAGAGAGAGAGAGAGAGTTCCCTGTTCCCAGAAACTTCCAGAAGCACCTTTCAGAAGCAAGACTCCTCACACTCTCTGTCTGCAGCTACTGCTGAACACCAGCGTCAGGAAGGCAGGCTATTGGGACTGGGGATTTAGCTCCAGGTAGAACACTTGGCCTGACTCTGGTCCTCCTCACTGAAGGAAATCCAAGCTCTCAGCACCCCCGACCGTGTACACAACACATGCTGCATTCTGTTTTGTTGTCTCGGGAGACGGCTTGCTCTGTGCAGTGCATGTATGTAAACATGAGAAGCTGAATTCACATCCCCAGCATCCACGTACAAGTCAGTGCTGGGGCTGGACACACGTTGCAGCTCTTGCAGGGGACCAGGGTTTGGTTCCCAGCAACCTAGTGGGGTAGATTACAATAGCGTGTAACTCTAGCTCTGGGACATTTGACGCCCTCTTCTGGCTTATGCGGGAACCTGCACTCCCAGGTACCGTACATAGACACACAGAAACAAGCACAGACACACACACACACACACAAAGTGTCAAAAAATGAACCAACGGTTGGGGAACTGGAGAAATGGTTTCATGGTTTAAGAGCACATACTGCCCTCCTGGAGAACCAGAGTTTAGACTCCAGGACCCTTGCTGGGTGACTCACAACCATGGGCAACTCCAGCTCTGCAGGGGTGTGGGAGGGGGCATCCAACACCCACAGCCTCTTTTGGCCTCTGAAGGTCTGCACACGTGTAGCACCCTGTACTGGCTAGTTTTGTGTCGACTTGATATGAGCTAGAATCCCCAGAGAAAAGGGAGCCCAAACTGAGAAAATGCCTCCTCCGTAAGATCAGGCTGTAGGCAAGTCTGTAGAGAGTTTTCTTAAACTGTGATTGATGGAGAAGGGCTCAGCCCATTGTGGGTGGGGCCACCCCTGGGCTGGTAGTCCTGGGTTCTATCCAAAAGCAGCCTGAGCAAGCCTTGGGGAGCAAGCCCGTAAGCAGTACCCCCTCCATACTCTCCTGCCTTCAGGTTCCTGCCATTTGAGTTTCTGCCCTCATTGTTTTGGATGACAAACTGTTATATATGGAAGTGTAAGTGAAATAAACACTTTTCTCTCCAAGCTGCTTTTGGTCTTGGTGTTTCATCACAACTACAGTAACCCTGACTAAGACCAGATATATACATTGTTATGGTTTTGGTCCCTTTAAGAGACAAGCCACACCCATTCCCCTCCCCATCCGCTGAGGCAGGCTGATCTTCAGCTTCGGGCCTGAGCTCGCTCTCTTTTCCATCTTCCTCTCGGAGAGGCAGCTTTGCTTCTGCCTCTCTCCCCACTTCTCTGCTTCCCCCTTCTCTGTCTCTTTCTCCTCCTCCTCCTCTCTCTCTCCTTCTCTCTCTCTGTCCCCCCCCTTCACCCTTCCTCCTCCATAACCCCCTGAATAAACATTCAACCTCACCCTGCATGTTGTGTCTATCCATGTTTCTGTCTTCTGCCCGCCCGCCATGTGTCTCCCTGCCTGGGACCAGCCATTGCTCAGGGATCAGCAGCCATCTCTGCCTGGGGCCCACTGCCTGCTGCCACATGGCCCGCCACCACTGCTCTGAGACCAGCAGCTGCCTCTGCCTGGGGCCCACTGCCTGCTGCCACGTGGCCCGCCACCACCACCGCTTGGGCCACCGCTCTGGGACTGGCAGCCATTTCTGCCTACTGCAAAAGAACAACATACATAAAGAGAACAAGATAAATCGGTTTCACTGTTTAATTATGTACGAGGGGGTATGTGATGTGAGATCATGAGTACTTGGAAGGCTGTCAGGGGCCAGCCTGGACAAAATTACCTTTCTTCCAGAGTGGAGGCATTGGGAATTTAGAAATACAGTAAAGAATACAAAGATGTGAACAAAAATAATAAAACACAGAAACACATAGGATA